AATGTTAACTAGGTGTCGAAGGAGGAGAAACTGCAATTAAATTGGCACGTAAATGGGCGTATAACGTGAAAGGTGTGCCGAAAAATGAAGCGGTTGTACTCTTTGCAGAAAATAATTTTTGGGGACGTACATTATCGGCTGTATCCAGTTCAACTGATCCATCATGTTATGAAGGGTTTGGACCTTACATGCCGAATTTTAAAATCATTCCATACAATGACTTGAAAGCTTTAGAAGTATATGACCAATACCACGAGATTGACCTGTATACTATGTCGATGATATTTTCTAGGAAGCATGTAAAGATAGTCGTGTATGTGCATTTATGGTAGAACCAATTCAAGGCGAAGCCGGTTAGTCAAATGTCTAGAGAACGAAAAAATGATAATGACAGATTTATTCTAGGTGTTTGCGTACCTGACGATGGTTATCTTGCTGGTATTCGAAAGATCTGTACAAAGAATAATGTCCTTTGGATTGGTGATGAAATTCAAACAGGTCTTGGTCGAACGGGAAAGTATGTACACATCCTGTAGATAAAACAGTCCAGCTGGGATTGAAAACTATTGTAGACTACTTGCATGTGATTATGAAAATGTTCGACCAGATGTTCTTATTCTTGGTAAAGCATTAGCTGGTGGTTTCTATCCGGTAAGTTTAGTCGAAGAATCAATTGAATTGAATATTTGCTTTGCTTTAGGTGTCAGCAGTTTTAGCAAACGACAATTTAATGAGTGTGTTCACTCCCGGTACTCATGGTTCTACATTCGGTGGAAACCCATTAGGCGCACGGATTGCTATTGCATCGCTGAAAGTATAAAAAGCTGCTTGTAGTTTATTCTGAAATGAACCGAGTTGATTCTTAGGTTCTTATCGAGGAAGGCATGATTGAAAATGCCGCTCGAATGGGTGAACTATTGCGTCAAGAATTAAATCGTTTACCAAAGGACAAAGTTCAAGTGGTTCGTGGAAGAGGTTTACTCAACGCGATTGTCATCAATTCAAGTACGTGATAGAAAATGTTCTGATTGTTTTGTCTAGATTCATCCTTTTATATCTAGATTATGATGCATGGGAGTTATGTTTGCATTTACGTGACCACGGTCTTTTAGCGAAACCAACCCACGGCGACAAAATTCGTTTTGCTCCTCCATTGAATATCACCAAAGATGAAATACTGCAGTGCTGTTCAATTATTAGTAAAGCTGTTCACGCTTTAAAGTAGAACAATGATCTTGCATTCACATCCGTTTTGTCTCGTTCTCTCAATTTAACCTGTGTTTGATGATCAGATTATTTTTCTCATGTCATATTAAAATAAATCTCTAGTTTTTATTTTACCACACACATGTGTTCTCTTCACTATGTCCTCACCTGTATTTTTCGCTCGTTCTGTTGTATATTCTGCAAGACAAAATCTTCGCTAAGGAAACGGAAGAGATAAAGAGCCGCCTGCAAGGAAAGCACGCCCGTGTGGCTCAGTGGCTAGAGCACTGGTCTAGTAAACCAGGGGTCGACAGTTCAATTCTGTCCTCGGGCATAGACTAAAACAATTTTTTGCTCTGTGGAAGATCACATACGAATTCTTTTTTTGTCTTCCATCCTATAAAATCGAAATATATAGCTTTATAATTTACTTTTGGTCTTATTTGTCCCAAATTCTTTTTTTATCTGCTCTCAGTTAACGTTGTATTCTCATATTTATTATCAAGTAATACATGCGATTGTTTTATTCATCATCGAAACAGATAATAAGTTTTGAGACGGATTAAAGATAAAAAAATGTGGTGACAGAATCAGAATTGATAGGTTATCTAATCAGCTGCATCAGGTGAAACACGATCAAGATGAAATCATCATTTTACTGTCATGTGAGAACACATTATGTTAGTTTATTAAATGGATCAGATATGAGGTTTTCAACCAGATCTTTTCAGTAAAGAGGGTTAATGGTCATCATATCCATGTTAATATTTGTATGCGTTTCGAAAAGCAAAAATAAATGAATGAACGAGCGGACACGGACAAATTTCTATTTCTATCTATCTTCGAGAACGAAGATTATGCCTCTATGATTTTTTTGGTATCAAAAACAAAACTCACAATTGATGAAATATATTTTAATTATTTCTGATAATGCAGTTTTCCTTTTGAATTTCGATAGTCCTCGACTGATATTTAAATAGATGTCGTTCGACTATGACGTTTTACAAAACGAAAAACAAAACATGCGTTTATTAGTTTTAAGAGAATGATTAAAACTCGTTTGACATACTTAGAAACTAAATCCTAGAACAACATAATATTATTCATTGGATTATAGAAATGAAATCCTGTACTCAAAATTCACCTTTTATCAAGATCAAATTTTGTATTGTTATTCTACCCTGTTGTCACAAACAAGTCCGACGTCTTTCTATTTGACATCTTCGCAACGAAATGACGATGTTATTATTATTGACTACCGTCGCATTACTTATTACTGTCAGCAGCGGTTCAAACTGTTTAACTCGGCAGTCAATTGAAGAATCTTTGAAGAAAGTCTATATACCGGGTGCAACAATCACTGTTGTCAATAGTACCGATATACTCTATGAGGAAGCTTTTGGTTATCAATCTCTTCAACCGGAAAAACTATTGGATATTGAAAGATCAATCTTTCCTATCGCCTCGATTTCGAAAACAGTCATTGCTGTTGCTGTCATGCAATTAGTTGAACAAAAACGTGTCGACCTAGATACAGATGTCAATGAATATTTGGGTTTGCCAAGTCGTGCAATCTATCATCGAAATTTTCCCAATTCTTCGATCACATTGCGTCGACTACTTTCTCATTCATCATCAATCGCCGTCAATGGTGCTTTGCAGGCGAGCTTCTTCCAAGCTGGTGATAGTGCCATTGACAGTGGAACATTAGCTGAGTTTTGTTTGAAATATTTAAATTGGAATACAACGAATTGGCTGCCACGACCACCAGGAAACACAACTCTTTACTCCAACGAAGGAACAACGTTAGCAGCATTAGTAGTGGAACGAATCAGTAACATGCGCTATGATCAATATGTAAAAGAGAAAATTTTTAAGCCGTTGAATGTTACCAGTGATAAAATTGGCGTTCTTCTCAAAGATTTTACCGACAACACGCATTTCGTAGAACACTATGCTTACGCACCGAATTCATCATTCTTAGAACTATGGAAAACAGAATTTCCACAATTGAATATTGAATTGATGCCGGTAAATACTTTATCACTCGAGTTGTTATTCTCTTGAACACATCATCTCTTTCTAGGGCAATCTATCAACATATCTACGTATTCCCTTTCTTGGTTTTACTGGTTATCCTGCTGGTCTGTTACGGATGTCAGCACGTTCTCTTTCTGCTTTTCTCCGCATGTTTGTCAACAAAGGAAGTCCACTTCTTTCGCCACAATCCGTCGATGAAATAAAAACCATAGTTGGCAACGGCCAGATCTATCCTTTCAATCCAAATCCGAATTCCACCAATCAACCTGCACTACGGAGATATGGACTCTGTTGGCATTGGAGAACACTGACCGACAATCGTCAATATCTAGGCCATGGTGGAAGTCTCCCTGGCATGACGCATCTGATGTTAATTAATGAGAAACACAATACAGGTGTCATTGTTTTGACTAATGCCGACACGAATGCACCGATTGAATTAACGCAACAAATTTATGAAACAATGGAAAATATTCACATATCGATGTTTAGATGTTATGAAACAAATCATGCTATGCCGATTTTGTTTTATTCAAAGACCATTATTTTTGGATTTTTTTTCCGCATACTCTTGATTATGAAAGGCCTATAAAGACAAGTAGCGCTCATCCTTCGGATTCGCTGACCCTTTTCTGAAAGAATTATAATAAAAAGCCAGGATGATCAAATATTGCAAATAGCAAAAGCCCTGCGGAGACGCCTCTAAACGTTTTAGTCAAACGGGTACTTCTACAATGAAACTTAGTAGCTCTATTACATAATTCCGAGAGGATTAATTTTTTTCTGTATGACAAAAAGTTATTTTCAATTTCCCAATTATTATAATAAGTGGCGTATCGCGATTGCTGCCAATCCACCGCTGTAAGTACGTTAAGAGATTAGTCAAAAGTTTTGAATAAGATAACGATCCACCATTTTTTTATTGACCGAATCACCTAACACTTCGAAAAAATTCATTTAACTATTTTCGATAATTTGTTTCATACAGACGAAAATCAAAATTCTCTAACGATATTCCATTGATTTGTTTTTCAATTAAATCATTTGAATAAATGAGAAAAGAAATTCAATAAAAGTTTTTATCAAATAAATGATGTAAAAACAAATAAAAATATAAGCTGGATAACACGTATAACATGATGAAGCATTGAATGTTCCCTTTTCTGAAAGAAAGGGTTATACAGCGTTTAACAATAGAAATGTGAACTCTATCCTCTCTACATAACAAACAAAGGATATGATCGAGGTTCGGTTAAGTCGACGTATAAATAATCACATTGTCTGCGTTTCACGTTATATTTCATCATAGACAGCTTCTTCGTATTTCTATTCATTGATATTTATTTTATTATGTTGAGCAAAACTACTGTCAATAGTACCCTATCATCAGATCCACCCAGGTCGATCATTCCGGCGACTGGATCCGTTGAAATCTGGGTCGGTTCCGGCACAGTTTTCGCCGATTCCAGCAAGTTCCGGCAGGTTCCTTGCCGCCAGATCCCGGCCGGAATTGCACAGAAAATATCCGATCAGTTCCTGACCGTTTCCAGCTCGAAGTTTGCAGGAAACGGACGGGAAATGACTGGAACCTACGTTTGAACTTCCAGCCGGAATCCGGCGGCAAGGAAATGGTCGGAAAACGCATCTAACCGGCCGGAACCGACCGTGCCATAATAACCTGGGCAGATAAAGTATATTCAGCACAAGCTGATAATGGTGATGTTAAATCAATGGTTCAAACTGGAACACAATCAATGGCTAGCATTGAAAATACCCAGAAAACAATTAATCGTATGCCTTATCTTAGTAAGTTTAATATAAAACTAAATTCATAAATAAAAACTTCATGGTTAATTTAAGGCTCAGCACATCTTCAGGATGACGAATATTCGTGTAAACTTCTTGAAGAAATTAATGAACCTGTTCTTGAACCAATGAAAATAGGTGATGGTGAAATACAATTACAACAGCAACAACTTTTTGCAGATACTAATTTACGTACGTCTGAGAAATTTCTTTTTTTTATTTGTTTGTGATTTTCGAATTGATTCGAGTTTTTTTTCTATTTAGAACTTCAAAATGATTTCAAACGTAAATTACCACAACATCTTGCGAAACTTAATTCGAATAAAGAACTCAATATTCGACAAGAACGTATTCTTGAATCATCTTATGGATATTTTAATGGTGATCTTTCCGAAGATAATTGCTTGAAATCGGTTCGTTCAACAACTTTTCTTTTCATTGATTTCTCTCTTCTTTTCGTATAGATATGCATGGATGATTATGTGGCTGACGACATCGATGTTATTGATCAGTTGGATGATACTGAAAGTTATGAAACAAGTTTTGTAAGTAATATACATCGGTTGAACTTTGTAAATATCACTCGTCTCTTCTATTTTAGCGTCGATACGTGGTTGTTGTTCCTGTTCCAGCTGCTGAACTTGCTCCAATTGCTGAACTTGTTCCGGCTGCTGAACTTGCTCCAATTTCTGAACTTACTTCAGCTGCCGAACATTTTACAGTTGAACCACATTGCAATCGACATTATTTTGGTGTATTAATTGTTGGTGTATTAATTGGTATGATTATAATGAAACTGGTGAAATAATTGTTTTTCTTGTTGTTTATTTCTTGTAAATTCAATTGTGATGATCTAATAAATACAGATTATGTATCCATATTATTTTTTTCGATATTACAACGAAAACTTTGCCTTGTTGGCATAAATGAAAGAATGAATTAAGATGAAAAAAGAATGTAAACAGGCGCACAGATATCATCAATATTTGTTCTATTGAGCAAAAGAAAAAACCGGATATATCTGGATAACCGTTAACGATGAAACGAAGGTAAGCGAGTTCAGTAGACAAAATATCACAAGTTGAAATAAAACAGCAGAACTTTCTTTTTTTATGCTCAAGTCGAAACACACGGCTCGGATCCGCATTCTTTCAATAATTTTCGATTATCAGATTTCGATCGGAGTTCGACACATTTGGTGTATTTCCGATAGTTTTTGCCGAATAGCTTTCGTCCGATCGTCAGATCTCGTCAAAACCAATCAGATTCGATCAAGAGTATCCGCTATAAGCCCCTTCTCGATCCTGAACGATTTGCATATTTTTACAGCAACTACGTTCTTGTCAAGAATGTCGTGAATTCTTCGGCATTTGTTCTTTCTATAGACACTGGCAGCAAAATATCGTCTGACGAAAATTCATTATGAGAAATTTTTTAGAAAACTACTCTACTCAAAGCTAAGAGATGAGCTCATCGACGAGCGCAAGCGATATAGCAAACAGCAAGAGCGACCAACACAGCAAAATATATCCACTGATCAAAATCGAAATGATGATCGATGAAAGATTCCATTTCGAGTTGTCCCAGGTCAAAACAAGTACATCGGACCTTGTCGGACGGATGCAAAATCTTTTCTAATTTAGATGATCGTATTCGATCGGTTGCTTTTTGCCGGATTCCGATGTAATCCTTCATATTTCTTTGAAATCCGCTGATCGGATACGGTGAGATCCAACCAGATCTATGGCATTGGAACCGATCAAATCCGACCGCTGGATCTGACCATTTCCAATCTGATTTCGAATGATCCAATGTCCGGAGATTATCGGTATCTGCAGTTTCACATGACACATGATTCCCTGATAAAACCGCTCAACCACTGCTGTCGGATCGTATAAGAATATAAGGTTTCCGTTCATCGGATTTTTTTGTGTCAGATAATATAGATCCGCCCGGAATCAGTTACTGGGAGTATATCGGAAATTTTCGGAGTATTATGTATGTAGCTCAGCGATATAGTTAGCATACTAGCGAAGAAATAACATTTTCTAGTAGAATTGAAAATTCATTTCACTACGTTTTATTGAGCAAAATTAAACCAATGATTGAAATGATGATACTTTTATCAAGATGATAAAAATTAAATGTAAGTAATCACATTTAGATGTCATGTATGGAAAAATAATTGCAGTGATATTTTGACAACTTAGATAAGATAAAAAAATTGTAATTAAAATTAATAAAATAAACGTACAATGAAGTGAAGCGAACTAATTTTTTAATTGGAAAAAATCTCATATTTTTCGATGATTAAAATTACTTTGAATTTGTCTTAAGTCAGTAAAAGTCACATTGCTTTTTCTTTTGGTAATCACACTGTCGTCATACAAGATGATAAATTAACAAAAGTTATTGGCAATTGCCATTAATTATCAGAAATCGATCTTAGTTGAATAATATTAATAATCTGTTACAATAGATGAAAATCTAATAAAAACAAAACGAAATATATCCTTAATTTGCAAGAACTAGATTAAAATCAGACTAAATTGACGTATTTTTGAACTGATGTAAAATAGATTTCCAAAGAATTTATAATTAAGTATTCGATTTTTATTTTAATTCCTATCAATATTACTTAAAAGTGTCACTGACGAATAAATTCATCTACCCTTACCCATTTTACTTGCTTAGAGTCTCTTCGACAAACGCCTAGTCGTTCGTTGGCCACTCATGGCTAGGCACTTACATGTACGTCTCTGTTATGCTGTCTACTTTTGATTACCTTCGATGCTAATAAATGAATTTCTTCTGATTCTCTCTATTAAAAAGGCAAAGAGGATGTATTAATAAGATTATTTAACAAGAATTACAAAGAGAAGATATTATTTTATGAATCCTAAGAATTGGCACATATTCGTATAGTACAGCTTTCGTGTGTTTGGACTGTTCTTTGCACATTTGATACCTATGAAGACCCAATAATAGAGTCAAAATCCGGTACTACATCTTTATTCACATATTTCGATTTAAAATTCTATCGAAACACCCGACATGTAGTTATGGATTACGCAAAAATGTTTAATCAAAGCTGATATCAATCTTGCATCTCTTCTTCTGATTACCTGAACTAAAGCTTTACATGATATTCTTACTAAATCTGATACTCAGAATTTGTAAACACTTCTAATGGAGCACATTATTGCCATCGATGTAGTTCAATTCATTATCTTTGAAACTTTTGAAAATGCGTTACATAGCGATTTCTTTTGCGAAGAGAAGAGCAGAAGGCTCAAATGCAGTCAATCAGAGAGAATCGACGTTAGATTATTATTTTCTATAGCCCTCATTCAAATTTCAAGAGAAACTAGAAAACTATTAAATTTTCTGAAAAAGAGCGACTGTCCAGAAATGGTAATTCACCAAAAATTAACAGCAGATCCGTATTCCCTCCACCTTGAAAACTCTTGAATGAGCCCTTACACAAAATTTTGTTTTGCAAAAAAACGACCTTTTATCCCAAAAAACGAAACAGAATTTTTTTATGAAAAAAACCAACACCAGTTTCGTGATACTCGACCCCGAAAGCCATTCGGTCAACCCTTATAAAAAGATTTTTTTGCAAAAAAAGTGGCCTTTTGTCTAAAAATAATGAACTGAACTTCTTTTCAAAAACCAACATCAGATTCATGATCCTGGACCTCGATACCCTTCGGTAAATCATTCCTATATAAATTTCACTGATTTATGAAATGCTGCAATTTGATTAGCTTGGACAGACAAACTTTCTGCATTTCAAGCCGGTGATTAAAACGCTGTATAACCCTTTCTTTCAAAGAAGGGAATAATATGAGCACAAATGTGAACGAGTGTTGTGTACCGAGAAACAACTCGGCTCATTAAATTGTCACCCACAAGCATGTTCAAGACAATTCATTAGTGAACTGTCATGTGCACAAAACTAGGAGAATACTTCATCAAATCAACTCAAAGTAGAACATCTCATTCATCTTTGCAAATGTCCGCAAGTAACAGTACAGATATTTCCGATAGCATCACGTCTGCTAGTCCCTCTCGTTCAATTCCGTTCGGTATTTTTACGGGATTGATTATATTTTCGATTCCATGCTATCTATTCATCTTTGTACAGTATATTCGCAAAGGATTACTACAAAAGCAAGTTCGCAGTCATACAATCCTTGCAGTACTAATATGTAGTTTCTTACAGGTAAGCCATCTTCTGATTCGTTTCGCTTTAATCAGTGAATACTTCAAGGTAACAATTGAATTACCGATTATTCTTTCGTATTTACATAACGGTTTGGTTCCTATCCAAACGGATTTCTTTTGTAAACTTTGGGCATGTCTAGATTATTCGTTTAATGTTATGATTCTAATGTTAATGGCGTTTACAGCAATCGAAAGATATCTGCTTGTCTTTAAACGCGCCTTTTTCAACCATCACCGACTCATTCGTCATTACATCCCAATGAGTTTGTGCATCCTATATCCAATTGTTCTATATATCTATTTCATTTTTTTCTATCCTTGCACAAATCAATTTACATTTACAATGATCACTTGCGGCGGGCCGTGTTATTTCTATGCGCCAGCAATCAGCATGTTCGATCAATTTACTAACCTTGTTTTTCCCGTAACAGTCAGCACTATCGTCAGTCTCATTCTTCTGAGTCGAGTTTTGAAACAAAAACGTCATATGCAACAACAACAGATGTGGAAGAAGAATCGACGTTTAGTACTACAATTGCTTTACATTGTCATTCTCTACAATCTTGTTTGGCTGCCAATGGTGACTTCTTCGTCGATTCTATTATTTTCCACCGTACCACAACAGATTCTAATTGACTTAAGTATTAATATATTACCATACGGAATTTATGTCGCGATTTTATTATGTCCATACGTTTCTTTAATGAGTTTACCCGAACTTTGGCCTTCGTCTGCTGTGAATATTTTTCCAACGGTAAGAACCATCCATACAACACATATCCCAAATCATCTACAAATGATTCATACAAACATCGCGAATCGGCCACCCTCATTTAAATGCGATGATCCAAATATTCATTAGTAGAAAATGGTTTAGGCTTGAAAGAATTGTCCAGATCGGAAGCTAGATAGTTTCTATTTAACATTTCAAGTCATCAACAACACTTCACATCTTCTTTTGTAACTCGATAACTGGAAATCATTCATTGTGATAAAAACGAAACAACTTTTTATGGGCTATTTTCTTTTACAACTAAAACAATTTCTACTGTAAAAATGAGCAAAACGTCTCAGAAGTATTATATGAACTGACGGATCTGTAATTTTTTTCGGTTTTCTTGCAGTAAAACCAGCTGCAGAAGTAGAAAAATGAATAAAATTAAGTCTAAGTACCTGAACATTCATTGCACTGTAATTGCTATTTAATGTTCTATATGATCTTCTCAATTTTGCTTGGAACAGACCAATTAAAAATGTGACCGGTGAACTATTATGAAAAGTGAATCTGTCTTACTGGTATTATTCATTCTAGGGTACATATATAGAACGAGACTGCCATACATATTTCACGCATGATTTTTATATATAATTAAGAAAAGCCGAATGATTTTAAGACGATACACCCCTAAAAAAACGCCATCAGGATTCGTGACAATATTAATTGAGAGGCGTATAAAAGCGCTTTTCATGAGGGTTTACTATACGAGTTTATCTCGGTTGAACGAACTAGTGGAATCAATTACAATGGTCTCAACAGCAACTATTCTTAGTATTCTGGCTTATACTCTGAATTTTCTTGCCGTTTTTGTTTTCTTTTTCATCATTATTCTTGGTGTTCTATGCCGACGAGATATGCGCGACATTTCACTTGTCCTAACGTACAATACTTGTTTTGCTGCACTTCTAACCTGTCTGACTGTTTTGATCATGAACACTTCTAACCTCTCAGACGGTTTCCTCACGTTCAACTTCGACTTCTGTCGTGTTTGGGGTCTCATGTACGATATGTGCCAGTGCTCCATCTACCACAGTTTCTACTTGCAAGCGTTCTATCGTCTCTGTCGAGTTATATTCTACAAAAAGAAATCTCTCCTATCCTATTCACTCTTTCTCACACTCGTCTTTGCCCAGTGGACACTAACAATTCTCATACTTCTCCCACCGTTCTTCCTCGGATGGTACACTCGCTTGCCAACTGAACAATATTGCCTTATTCCATACTCGGACTATGGTGCAGAGTTGTACCACGTCATGGTTCTATACGTTATTCCTATTGTATGTATATCTGCCACTTACATATCGATCACAAGATATATTCGAAGATCATCCCGACAACCAACAATGATGCTCGCGATTAACCAGCAGCGACGAAACTTGCGTGACCTGACTGTCATGAGACGGATCCTGGCACTAATATCTGTACTGATCGCACTTCGGGGTCCGACAATCATCTTTATGGTATACGCGGTGATCAGAGGCCAGATGTATGAATATACATTTGGTATTGTAGGTCTAGTCACAGCGCTTTGTATGATATTTATGGGTTTAATGCTGATTCATATCACTCCACAGCTGAGAAAAAATCGACTTGTTTCCATAATTTATCATGATAATCGAGCAAATACTCAACAAACTGGCCCACAGTGCCTAACACTGCCATCAGCGACTGGCGGTGCCACTGGCCTCCCTCAACAGACTAAATCACCCCACATTCGGAAAACTCCCACTCACGAATGACCTTTCTTTCACGTCAATAAAATAATTAATGTTACGCTCTAATCTTTCAATATAGATCGCATGATAAATATCCATTTTGCTCACTATTGCAAACTATTCAGTCATACGTCATTGTCATCATGACCATCTCTCGCGACAGATCATTATCATTCACGCCATTAGAGCTACATTTACATAATTAAATATATATCAACGATAATGTGAAGCAAAAGTTGTTGAGGGTGCTAATCTCTCCTTTAGAAAATCTATCTCCTAATGAATGTCAAGTTACCCAGTTATGCCTAGTTTCGAAAACAAAATGAAAAAGCTCATTAGCTTAACTCAAGATTACGCTCATATTTTTCATCTAAACAGAGAGATGTTGTCTCATCTTACTTACCGGCTCTTCAACGTTTTTCATTAAGAGATATATCATTGATAAAAAAGCATTTGTAGTCCAACTTACACATTTCATTTCATTCATATCGGCACATAATTAACTGCTTTGACAAACGAGGGTGAAATATACATTTTTCTATTTTTTAGCTGAGCACTTATTCGAGATGTTCTTTAGTAAAATCATAGAAAACACACGAAAAAATGCTTTGAAGCAACTATTAACGCTTACTAGGTCTCTACGACGTAATCGGGAATAAGTGTCAGTTAGCTGACCTTCAATTGCATGAGAAAAACAGATTATTTTCCGAAGGAACTTGATTTTCATTGATAATAATCAGAAAATTATGTGTGACGTTAGAGCGCAAAATTGTCAGTATTTTGACATATATATATATGCGTATCCATTTCAAATAAGGACCGTTGATAGAAATGTAGACGATGTGTGCTCTTTAATACGAAGATTGAAGAAGATATATAAGACCCTTTTCTTTTTATAATAGATTTTCATTTCATTTAAACAATGTTCACGCTTGCGACGATTCTTGGGGTCTTCAATTGTGGTTTCAACTTCATTGCTCTTTTAATATTTTTTTTCATCATTATTCTTGGTATTCGGTACCGACGAGATATGCGCGACATTTCACTTGTCCTAACGTACAATACTTGTTTTGCTGCGCTTCTCACCTGTCTGGCTGTTTCGATTATGAACACATCTAATCTCTCGAACGGTTTCCTCACGTTCAACTTCGACTTCTGTCGTGTTTGGGGTCTCATGTACGATATGTGCCAGTGCTCCATCTACCACAGTTTCTACTTGCAAGCGTTCTATCGTCTCTGTCGAGTTATATTCTACAAAAAGAAATCTCTTCTATCCTATTCACTCTTTCTCACACTCGTCTTTGCCCAGTGGACACTAACAATTCTCATACTTCTCCCACCGTTCTTCCTCGGATGGTACACTCCTTTACCAACTGAACAATATTGTCTTATTCCATACCTAAACTACAAAGCAGAATTGTACCACATCTTGGTTCTATACGTTATTCCCATTGTATGTATATCTGCCACTTACATATCGATCACAAGATATATTCGAAGATCATCCCGACAACCAACAATGATGCTCGCGATTAACCAGCAACAACGAAACTTGCGTGACCTGACTGTCATGAGACGGATCCTGGCACTAATATCTGTACTGATCGCACTTCGAGGTCCGACAATCATCTTTATGGTATACGCGGTGATCAGAGGCCAGATGTATGAATATACATTTGGTATTGTGGGTCTAATCACAGCGCTTTGTATGATATTTATGGGTTTAATGCTGATTCATATCACTCCACAGCTGAGAAAGAATAAACTTGTTTCTATCGTGTACCGTGACAATCGCATTGAAACACAAATATCAGCACCAGGTCAAGCAATACAACCGCCCTATAATGCACAACCATCAATTACCGCTGGTGAACGTGGCGAGGTGCGACAAAAGGCATCTTTCAATAGTCAAAGAACCGCATGACAGCATATCTTGCAATATATAATATACTATCACATTTTTGTCTAGAACTACCTATTGAAATAAAATGAATCCATTCCTATTATTTATATTATAATCTTTTCAAGAAATATTTTGACAGACACATTTTCCTTTAATATGTCAATTGTGAGTAACAGGCACGTTATCCTGGATGAACAAATAAGGATTTAACATTTTTATGTGCCCCATTGGATTTGTCCTATAGTCTTGCCAACCCTTTTTAATGCAAACATGTTATTTTTCACTTTCTACCACGTATAATGACATAAATAACATTACTTTTTTTCTGTTCGGTAGAAAAGCAAAGCTAACTTTGCACCATTGACATCAAAATATAAGAAAAATAGTTTTGAGAACTCCGAACATTTCAGTACGTCCTCCGAGTGCGTTCTCTGTCCTCTTTCTTCTCTCAATGGCTGTTCTTTGAATGAAAAAAAGTGCACTGTCAACTGAAAACGAGAGAAAAACACATCCTTTTTCTGCAGATTTTAATTGATACACACGGAAACAACTCATAATTAGCAGAAAAAACGTTCTAGATTTGTGATAATTTCCAGATTAGTAAGACGATCCATGTACGATACTCAGGAGATTCTCTTACAACGCATCTTCAACATTGCCAAAGCAAACTTGAAAAATTCTAGTGCTTTTTCTTTGTCAAATCACCCTTTTTCCAACGCTCGACAAATGTTGTGTGAAGAAACGTGCGACATTGACTGAATTTTCTTCTTTTTTTGTCGTTAGACAAATAGTCTCAGTCATAGTAACCTTCTAATCGATAAACATACTCTGTGAGAACTGCTTTTTTCATGTGACTAAATCGCTATTTTACCTTTTGAAAAATCTGATTTGTCGCCGTCGTTATATAACGATGTCATCAAAACGAGTACATATGGCGAAAACAAGCATGAGTGAACCAGAGTAGAGAAAGGAAAAAAAATACCATAGGTTGTGTAATCAACAAAAACATTCTCATCAAAAATAGAAAGAAGGAAGTTTTTTTTTTTCATTTACTCAGAATTTTCTTTTAGGAGAGCGTCGAGTGATGATGGAATCGCAACCTAATCGTCCACGTCGTAATGGATGTCTGAAGTTCTTGGGCGAGTATCGAGCTTTGCTCGTTAAAATGCTTATTCTAACCAAACGCAAACGTGGTCAAACGATAGCAGAATTTCTACTTGCTTACGTTTTTGTTGGTCTTTTACTTGGCATGCGTTATTTACTCGACCGAAGTTATTACAGTCCCATGCAATTTCCACCATTTCGTCCGTTTGATCAAATGACAATGAATAGTACTTTAGCCAATACGACATATTACTATCCATGTATGCTCTCATGCGAAAAATATGCACTTAATCGCTGTTTTTTTTTCTAGCAAATCTGTGCACACAAACGATTGTGACGAATGCGATCACTAATCTTGCAGCGAATGTGCCAGGTTTTCCTAATAACGGTATGACGATTGAAATTAGTAAACTGCAAGCGTTTTCTCATTGTTGATAACTTTTCAGTGCAAGTTATTCCGAATTCGTCTATTTCATCACTATCGAATTCGACACTGGGAACCATATATGCATACATTTATTTTACAAATATCGATCCACTTTGTTCGAGTGCGAGTGCCATGCCTGATCAAGTGGCTTATACTCTACGGATGCAAGAGTATGATTTTGACTGAGCCCGAAGTCGCCGTTTTCATTGAATTGTTTAATAAATAGAAATGGTTTGCGATACTATCGTCCGCAGTTGGTCAGACCACCTATGAAAGACTTCTTGTGGAAACGTGCACCTGAAGATTATTGTCAAGGTATTCACTGGAATATTGAAAGATAGATACGTGCAGTTCTTCATTTGTAGATAATACAACAACGCTGAATTATACGACTCAGTTTTTGGGAATCCAGTATTTTGTTGATCTGTCAATAATTCAATACATAACAGGCGCCAATCCGGATCAGTCAAGCGTAAGTGGCATTATTTGGCGGAGTGACAATGAATGGAAGTGTCGTGTTTAGGTCTACCTGAACCATTTTGGTTGTCCGGCGGTCTATCTAGACCAACTTCATGCTGGTTTTAGTTTCTTCGTTCCATTATTTTACTCAATTATATATTTGGTTACGTTTATTCTCAATCTCGGTTATATCGTCGAGGAACGAGCCAATAAAACGAAGGTAAACTTGTTGTATTTTATGATCATAAATCTCTTCATTAATTCACATTTGCTTTTTATTGTTTTGACGAAAAAAGAGTGATAAATTGAAGATTGAATTATAACCCGTTTTTAATCTAGGAATACCTTCGGATATTTGGTCTTCGCACTTGGGTGAATAATCTGGTATGGATCACCCGATCCATGAGCATCTATTTTGTATTAACTGGTGTTGCGACTGGTTTGAGCATGATCGTCTTTGGTAGTACGGGTACTCGGGCGACTAGTGTAACGCGAGCTGTGTTCAATTTTACACATTGGACACTATTATGGACAATTCTATTCGTATATTCGATCGAAGTTTCGACTTTCGCAGTCTTTTTCGGCCAACTTTTCAAAAGAGGTAAGATCGTCACTATTTCACCGAAAATAAACGTTCTCTTGTAGCGCTTTTGGCAAAACTACTGGGTGTTGTACTTTGGATCATTACCTTCATCGATTTTTATGGCACTGCACCTGCTGCTGTTCGCTATATTCTTTGTTTATTTCCGAACGCTGGCCTTCTGTTTTGTATCCAAGTACTTCAACAATTCGAACGTCGCAGTAGTAAGTTATTCGATGTAGAAAGTCACGAGTTACATAATTTTTTAGGTGGAATGGCCACCTTCGAACATCTCTACGTGAATATATTTGATTATCCATTGTATATTGGCGTGTGTTTACTTTTGATGTTAATCTATTCCGTGATTTACATGTTTCTTGCTGTCTATGTCGAACGATTGAACCCCGGCGAATTTGGCGTTTCTCAACCATGGAATTATTGGTTAAAAAAATCCTACTGGACGTCATCGTCAAGTGTTCGACCGACCGACGCTATGAATAACATGGATCCGATAGATAATCATGCAGTAAACGGAAATCATTGGATTGAAATGAATCAGGTTGAGAAAAAGAAAAGTCCAGCTATGACAATTGATCATTTGAATAAGGTAAGAAGGCAAAATGATCGACTGAAATTATACAACGACTTTTTCGTGCTAGAAATTTGGAAAATTTCAAGCTGTTTCGAATCTGACTTTGGAATTCTTCGCAGGAGAAGTTTGTACATTGTTAGGACATAATGGTGCTGGAAAAACAACAACAACATTTATTCTTGTTGGTATGTTACCATGATTCTATTTGAGAGAAGTGTAGGAATGACGAATATACATTTGTTAAGGAATGTTGGAGCCGACGTCGGGTCGTGTAACGATTCAAGGATTCGATAATCAATCTCAGATAGAAGAAGTTCGACATCATCTTGGCTTTTGTCCACAATATGGTAACGAAATCATCGATATTGAATTTTCCTTCACTAATTGTTGCTATAGATATTCTTTACAATGAATTATCAGTTGAGGAACATTTGGAATTAATTGCTAAGGTGAAAAATGATTATAGTATATCAGTCGAAGAATATATGACGTTTTCTCATTTTTAGATGCGTCATATGGATAAAGAAGTAATGAAAGAATCTATTGAAACTATTCTTCAATTAATTGGCTTGACAAATGATCGTGGTACACTTTCAAAAGATCTCTCTGGCGGTATGAAACGTCGACTATCGATCGGAATTTCACTCATTAATGATCCAAAAGTTTGTCAAAAGAGAATTCAGAGAATTATCCTTTGTATGAAATCTATTCTTATTAGGTTATTATTCTCGATGAGCCAACAAGTGGAATTGACCCGTACAATCGTCGACTCATTTGGACCATCATCAGAAAATTGAAATTAACTGGCAAATGTGTTTTATTAACCACGCATTTTCTCGAAGAAGCTGATGTTCTATCAGATCGAATTGCGATCATGAGTCGTGGTCGACTTCAAGCCAATGGTACACCAGATTTTCTCAAACAACAAACAGGTTTGAAAAGCGACTCATTTCAGTATAATAAAACGCTGAATCACTTTAGAATTTGAGTATCGACTGTTAATGGACAAACAAGATAGCTGTTCAAGTGAACGTATAACACAATTCCTCCGAGAATACGTCGCTAACGTTGTACTGGAACGTGAATCAGCTGCCGAACTCGTTTATGGAATCAAGCGTGGCGAATCGAAACAAATCGAACGCTTAATAACAGGACTTGAGCAACAAAAACAAACTATTGGAATCAATTCGTACGGATTATCTATGACAACTATTGAAGATGTGTTTCTCCGGTAATAGATGGCGAAGGCTTTTGTTAAAATACTCGAATAATATTTGTTCGTCATTTTTAGATTAGTTCTCGAAGAAGAAGAACAAGAACATGGTATAGTCAAAACAACGTTAGACGATCAAGGTAAATTCAATGCACTTTTTCACATAATCATTCCAATCATTATCGCTTATTCTAGTCTTTCGTAAACAATACGAACGCGTTAGCGGTTTCGGTCTATTCTGTACCCGTGCCCGAGCACTACTAGTCAAACGTTGGCATGTATCTCGTCGGCAAGTTAGTTTACTCTTAGGCTTCTTTCTACTCCCTCTCCTGATCGAAATTCTCACTGTTGCTGCCGTGCCAACACCACAAGAAATTCAATCCACACTAATGAGCAATGAACGTATTCCCGATGCTCAAGTGACACTCGAACCATCGATCTACAATCCTCAAACGATCGTTGCATATGCAAATAATGATAATAATCTCGTTCGCACACGTTTGATCAACTATCTCACAAGTACAGGTGCATCCGTCGATGAAATCACTACGGATACTGTGCTTAGTTATGTTAGAAATCGATATTACCAGTCGGAAGATATATTTATCAATAAATATCAAACAAGTTATGCTGCATATAACAACGGATCATCGGGATCACCAATATTACGGATGAATTCTTACTTTTCAACAGTCAGTTATCACACAATGGCTGTAAGTTTAGGTGTTGCTGCAACGAATCTCTTTCAATTCTATGCTAATTCGACAAATAAAAGTATTATTACTACCAATCAGCCGATCATTACACCAACAAGAGGCGCATCCTATATTGCCGAAGTTCTTTCCGTTCTCTACTGCTTCGAAGCATTTCCAATTTCATTATTTAGTTTTCTAAATGCAATTGTAGCCACTATATTCATCGGTGTTCTTCTCCTACAACTAGTCACTGAACGTTTGAATAATTCCAAAGATCTTCAGCTGTTAACTAATTTAACTAAGCGAACATATTGGCTTTCGAATTGGCTCTTCGATTTTTGTATATGTCTGATACTGATTGCATTATTAACTGTGATTGTTGAGGTATACGACACGGAAGCTGTTGATTTTGCATTTAATTTCTTTTTGTATAGATCGGTGCTCAAGCTAATCCAAAAAGTGATGCTGAAGTTCGTGTTTTTCGACAATCAGCGGCGATGGGCATGTTTTTCTTCATGTGGTTTATGTACGTTCTCGCATCTTTACCATTCGTTTACGTTTTTTCGTTTATTCCCAAAACGTCCATTATGGCTTTCACAAATTTCTTCATTATCAATGTGATCGTGTGTGTCGTTGACGCAGTAGCGAGTTCAGTTGCAGTGTTTACTAAAAATGACAATCCGGCGGCAGGTCCAACGAGAACAGTAACAGTTATAACAAACATTCGGTGGATTTTTGCGGTTTTATTACCATCGATCAATTTGAAACACGCAATTTCCAATATTCTTCTACATTCCAATAATGATTGTATAGCCGTATCAAATGCGATGGTAGGCACAACGTTAGCGATCAATGAACCGTGGCTATCGAGACAGAGACCTGGTGTTGGTTCCGAATTTATTATATTTATCGTTCAAATATTGTTTTGGTGGATTATATTGATGATAGTAGAAAATCGTCTACGGATACGACAAGCTTGGCAACGCTGTTGCTGTTCAGATGAACCATATTCATCGGATGATTGGAATGACTCGGTATGAGAAAAATTGCTATAGGTAATTAGAATACGGAGGTATGTGTTTGTGTATCTAGCATTTGGATGAGGATGTTCGACGAGAACGGCAATTACTTCAACAGGAGAATGAAACAACAAAAGCGTCGGTTATTCTTGTTCGTGATCTAGTCAAACGATTTCAGAAGAAACGAGGAAAATCAAAAAATAAACAAGATTATTTCGCGGTGAATCATGTCAATTTTCATGTGAAACAACGTGCCTGCTTTGGTCTGTTAGGTAGGAAAAGACTATCAATGTGTGCTTGTATTTGTGTGGATTTTGATCGGTTTAGGAGCGAACGGAGCAGGAAAAACAACGACATTTCGAATGTTGGTCAATGATATTAAACCCTCATCGGGAAAGATTATTATTAATGGAAAAAATATCAATGAAATGGTTGGTATTTTGTTTTTCGATAGGTAAATCAGTCAATTTAATTGTTCTTCGTGTGCTTTCAGCAACGAGATTTGGAAATTGGATTCTGCCCACAATTTGATTGGCTTGTGTACGATCTGAGTGTCTTCGAAACATTAGTGCTATTCGCTCGGTAAGATTCGATTCGGTTCATTGCGTGAATAGAACATTTCTTTTTACAGATTGAAAGGCGTCAAAGGTTCAGAAATCCATGAAATGTGCAAGAATATGATGACGATATTCGGTCTTGAAATGTACGAAAACCGATTAGTGCAAAAGCTTAGGTAAAAACAAATGAAGTTCATTCAATCACATTGTGTATATCGATTCTAGTGGTGGGAATAAACGAAAAGTCAGTGCTGCTCTAGCGTTCATGGCTAATCCAGCATTAGTGTTTTTGGATGAACCAACAACAGTATGAGATTACTTGATTGGGAAGAAACTGATTTGTTAGTATGATCATGATTTCATAGGGCTTGGATGCAGCTGCTAAACGAAAATTGTGGAAAGTGATTCGGGCTGCTCGTGATGTTGGTTTGACTATTATCATGACAAGCCATAGGTAAAAGAAAGAACTGATTTCAACTTGAACACAGATTGTTCGTTTCTTTAGTATGGAAGAATGTGAAGCACTATGTACCAGTAAGTTGCACGGTGGATGGAGATTCATATAAATATCTTCTTCCTTTAGAAATTGGTATTATGAAAACTGGTCAATTCATGTGCTTAGGTACTCTACAACATTTACGATATCGTTTTGGCAACGGTTACGCTATACAAGTCAAAGTTGCCGGTGATGATATTGAGAAAGTAAAGCAAGACTTATCGGCAAATATTCCCGGTATTGAATATCACGGTAAGAGAAGAATCTCTCGCAGTAGGTTACATTCTACTTTGTTAATCGTATAAATAGAACAACATAACGAAGTACTCTTTTGTCACATACCGTTTTCGTCTACAACTTCAAACGGTACGAGTTCTACTCGATCATCATTCAACTTGGGCCGAGTATTTGAACTTTTAAATTCTCGGAAAGAACAAAAGATGATCGAATCGTATTCGGTCACTCAGACAACATTAGAGCAGATCTTTGTACAATTAGCTGGTGAGGATGAAGACGCAGAGTCATCGGATCACCCAGTACAGAACCAAGAAGATAGTAAGTAAAAGATTTCTTTTAAGCAATGGATCTAAAAGATACTTCTTATGAACTAGTCGTCGAGCAGGTTGATTAAAAGGTGATTTGAATTGAATATTGTCTATAAATGTTTACTTACTGTGTGTATATGAACATTCCTAAAAGTACTTATTCTATTTTAGACTTTCAACCATTGACAACCCGATTGTAATGCGATTAATTTCTTTTGCTAAGTGCATTTACTTGTTGTGCTTCACTTAAAACATGTTTTTTGTGAAATCGGTGAATATTTTCATTGCTTATTGTGATATACGCTTTCAAAATCGAAATAAAATGCTTTACTCATGATGTCAGACTAGTTCGTTTAAAAGCCGATAGATTTTGAGAAATCACAATTTATTATACAACAAATGACAAATGTCAAAATACTGTTTGAAAGTTATGAGCATCCCTGAGAGAGAGAAGACGAAAACATTTGTATTTGTTGTTGACCGTCGTCTGATTCATTATGAGAAAGCACTGGACGAGAAAATGACAAACGCTCTTTGTCGAAACGAAGTGCAAATCGACCGAGTTGTCCATCAAATCGATTTTTAACAATCTAAACATATATTTTCATCATCTACATTCGATATCAAGTGATTTACTTGTAAATATTTAACACTTCCACTCGTTGCCGTTGCTAACTTTTTCTGTTGGATAATTAGCAGATTATCGGATTCTTGTGATGCTTTAGCCGAACCAAATATCGATGAAACCGACAATTCTTCTTCATCTCCTTCCTAAACATAGAAATACATGTATTGGAAAATATCTCATGGACGTCGGTTACTTTTCTCGGATGAATAACGACTGTTACGTGACATTTATTATTTGTTGCAAATTTTCTAAAACGATGAATCAACGTGTCCTGTTTAAAAAATCGGTCATTGTTAGAATAATCCATTCCCATCATGAATTGCAGGTTATCAATAATAACGTGTTGAATATTATGAATAGCAACGGCATTTCCCATTGTCTACGAGAATTGGATTCCGGTGAAAACAAACAGGACGAATGGTTCGTTGTTTTGCGTACTTACATTGATCACCTTGTCGATCCTTTCCTCTCCGTGAAATGTCATGAAAAACATTGGGAGACGAGCAAACTGATCAGCGAATTTATCGAATACATGCAAATTTTTCGATAGATTCAATCTAAAGCGAAATCTAGATCAGACAATTCAGTACCTGAGCTTTTCTTACCCAGAATATTGTGTTAACATGACTTTCGCAAGTCGATGGGTTTGAATTTCAAAACTACCAAATAGCGTTGATACCTATCGAGAAAGATTTGATATAGAGAAACGTCTTCTGTCAAAACCTGCTTTACTCCTTCTGTACACAGATCGAGTGAATATTCACTGAGAAATGTTGTTTTGCCGCAGCCAGTAGCGCCCGTCAAAACGGTCAATTCACCAGCTCGATGGCCTTTGAGGATCTGTGTCAACATAGGAAATCGTTGCCACTAAACGATAAGAAATATGTGACAGAATTCGATCACAAAGCTAGTCCTCAAACTTGTGTTCCAGCAAATCGTGTTCGTTGCAATAGTTCATCACGTATTATATCACGAAAAGTATCGAATTGTTCGATACATTTATTAATCACAGCGAAACTTTCATTCACAATTGTTTTCAAACTATGGTCACCTTTGAAAGCTACTTGTGCGTTCATTGGGTACCTCGAAAACAAAACGTAATGAATTTCTCTTTGCTAATCAAAAGTCTATTTACGTGATCATAAAGCATCGATGAGGATTGAGAATACTTGCGAGACGAAAAGCAAAGGCCTTATCATCCCAATACCAAATATGAATTTTACGAAGATGTTCCAATACCATCATCAACTAATTCATCACACTTCTTACTTCGTTCAGGGAAATAACACTATTTCTTTACTTTGATTGAAAGTTTGCCATTCGGTAGAGCAATGGCGACTTTACCAGTCGTTTGAAAGACACACAGAGCATTCCAAATGGAATCTACAACCACTATTTCAACATTTCGCGCAGAAAGAACATTGAGACCAAATGGTGTAGGAAGTTTTCTATCACAAAAGCCAATAAAAATTTGAAAACTAAATCAACTAAAACCCATACGAAAATGTTGTATCTGAATGTGTAGCAGAATCGAGTGACATAATATTCACTAGCGAACGATCTGTATCATACAATGGTGCAATGAACCGATCTTGATGGATTCGAATGCCATATCGTTGAAGAGTGGTATACGTAATCGTATGCTCCTTGAAACATGCATTTCTTCAGATAACAAGGGGATAAATCACTTTGAACTTACTTCATCGAATCCATATCTTGTCAGAAGTGCTTCAACAAGATCTTTATCTTTCTCTTGAATGACTTGTGATTGTTCCCATATACGTCGGTCGTCGTCTGATAATTGAGTTGAACCTGTATTCATTTTCGGGCAGGCCGCTCTGAGAACAACAACGAGAATATGATGAACGAATAAAGACTTGTCAGTTCACCTTAATTGGGAATTTTCTGATCGGTTCTTAAAATCTTCCCATGTGCCAGTTGCCGAGCATTTCGAACAAGCGAAATCACCTTTGAGCAAAAAGAATTTTTGAACTAGGATTATCATTTCGTTTCGTTTCTACCTCGTTCTCTGTCGATATGAATTAAACCGGGTATTCGATTTTGTCGAAGTTCTACCTTGGAACTTCGACAATATAATGCTTTGATACATGTCCATGATTCATCAAATGGAATTGTATTTTCTCTAAGATATTCTTTAATGGCAATTCCTTGACCAACTAATGGCGGACTTGGATCAATCAATGCTTGTTTCGTTGACAATGGAGTGTTGATCGTATTGAATGAATGAAAGAATTGTTGAAGGCATGGGTTGGCAAGTAGAGAACTACTCGCCGAACGCAAGATCGCACCAGAGAACATCAATCAGTGAAATGTACTGTTTGCCCATACTGATGGTCAGTTGCCACATAGATGGCGTTAGAGTGGATAATAAAAGCGAAAAGTTCTGAAAACAAAATTTTCGACATGAGAATTTCTCCAAAAAATTTCTTTCGATCAAAAAATCAATGCTTTCATGTTTGTCTGCGGTTGGTCAACTGAAACGAACCAATGGAGTGGGTTTTAAAGAAATTACATTGTGAAAATTGTGAAAATCATTTCCTTTCTCAACGAGACATGCCACTCTCGTCTGCACTACAAGCACGCTTAATTGAACGAGGCATCCTCAACGCCTCGAACATAAATGCTGCACTCGGTTTGTATTTCGATTCGATTGAAATTTCTCGCTAAAAAGTTCGTTTTAAGAAGCCAGCGCGGAAAATGACGAAGACAATGAAGAAGTCTTTGCTGAAAGTTATGATGAACGCGATGATCAACAATCGACAGCTGTAGTGCCCAAAAGGGTATGTTTGATTCATGATAATCATTCCTGAGTTTCATCATTCATTCCTTCGTAGCCAACGACAAGTAATTTCTCCGCTGCTGATATTCAGATCGAGTTCGAAGAGTGTATTAAATGTCCGAACAAATGGAATCCATACCATACGTGCGTTGACTATTGTAAAAAAAGGTAAACAGTAAAGCCGATCGTGTTGGCGATATAGTATAACCATATTTTCTTTCAGATATGGAATCAAGAACTATACACCAGATGCGATTACCGAAAAACGACGTCGAAGAATGCTGAAAAAGTATCCATTACCGAGCAATTGGCGTGAAGTACCTGACGCTAATTTGGATCGATGTTATTATTGGAATTTAGAGACTGACGAAGTCTCATGGTTACCACCTTCACATCCACGATCGCATGTCACTGAATCAGCTATTAAATTAAGACGTAAGTGAGACAAGAGATTTCGAAGATACGAGCTGTCGTGCCTTGCTAGATAAAGAAATGGAAAGAAAGGTGGCGGAAGCCCATCGACAAGCTGCTGGACCGTCAAAAAAGAAAAAGAAGAAAAACAAAGAGGACGTAAGTGAATTGAAGGCGAATAATGCTTGTCTTCAAACGACATGTTTCAGGGTGGAGAACGATCTGATACGGACGAAGAAGATTTAAATCCTGTACAAAAATTGAAACGAAAGATTGGTTAGTAGTGAAACTAATTTGAACTGTTGCTATTATATACCAATTCATTTTAGCTGGTAAAATGCTCAGTTATGATGCTGATCCGGTAAGTGCTCATGTATTCTCATTCGAAAAGGAACAACACCATTTTCTCATGTAGATGGACCCATCTTCATATTCCGATGTTCCAAGGTAAATCATACATGATAACTAGCATTGTTAACTATTTTCTTCTAGAGGTACTTGGGCATCCGGTCTTGAAGTGAAGGGCAAAGCTAAAAGTGCTGCTGACGACACAGCTAGTGGCGAGCTGTATCAAATGCGTCCTTACATGTCACCCGGCGATGTTCTTCGTATGAATGCCGAAGCTGCCAAGAAGAAGTCGAAATATTCATAGTTTTGCTTTTTTGTAAAAAGAACAAATGTTGTTATGTTGAACAATCTTCTCTTTTCTTTTTGTGTTTCGACTCTTAACAATACAAAATATGTATTTGCTATTTCCTTTTCAGATAAAATATCTTTCAATTGATCCATCTTCATCCAAAAGTAAGTGGCACATTTTTTTTATTGTTTAAATAGGATTCATATAGAACTAAAACGAAGCAAGCACACATGGACACACATGTATATTATATATTTTTACTAATACTAAATTCAAATGAATGAAAGTTCTCCTTTCTAAGTGTACAGACGTATGTAGAATCTAACGTTTATATTCGTACCCAAATAATTCCGTCCTCAATATGTACGACGAAGCCAGTTGTTTCATCACGATATTGTCGAGGCGTTGATCTCGCTTTGGTCGCCACCGTTGTCGTGATTTTCTTCACAGTAGGAATAGGTTCCGTCGTTGTCAATGTAGTCGTTTGTTTTTCGCTTGGTACCGGTTTACTGATAGGTGGCGCGAGGACGGGAGCACGAGTGTGAGGAGGTGATGAAGACTTTTCTTTCGTTGTAGAAAATAAATTAACTAATAGGTATTTATAAGTATTGATCTCTGCCGAAAGATTTACGGCATTTTCTCGTAGATGAACAACGATTGAATCTAAGGCGGGTATGTCGACCTGTAATTGTTTATATTCCCGATCCGAAAGTTCATATCGTTGTTTATTTTGTTCGATAATATCGTGTATATTATGTTGAAGTTGTTCTTAAAACGACGAAGAGAAAAAAAAAGATAAATTTCATTCGAAATTTTCTCGTAGATGATATTTACCTAACTTATCTTGAAGTGATTGGTTTTGTTCAATTAATGTTTGATATTCTTTCTTTGTTGATTCTAAAGTTAAATGAGTTTCATTCGATGTAACCGAGTGCTTTTGCTCTTGACGTTTGACAAATTCTTGTCGAATGACATCTAATTTACTTTCATAGATCTTTTCTAATTCACTTAAACGAATTCGATTAAACTCTTGATAATCTTGACTAAATATAAGCAATGATTTGTTTATCGAACTCGAACAATGAATGTCAACATACCGAATTTGGTGAACAATTTGATGCAATTCTGTTTGATTGAATTGTTTATCGAAATCGTATTGAAATTTTTCTAAATATTCGAATTCTTCTTGACGTCGATGATAGAATTCTTTTTCGAATGAATATTGCTCTCGGAGTGTACACAGAATATTCTCATTTTCCATTCGTTCATACGCAATCGTATCATATTCATTCGAGAATTTCATTAGTTTTTCCGTATATTCCTTATATTGAAATTTGTAAGTCTGAAAAATCAACAAATTACCCTTTTCGAAAATTCCTGTTTCTTTTCTTACATTTAAATCTTGTTCCTGTCTCTCATACTGTCGTTTGAGGTGTTCTAGATCTTGTAAATTCACGTCGAGTTGTTGCCGTAAATACTGAACTTGTTCTGATTGTTTCTGATCATGTGATGTTAAAACTTTGATGTTGTGTTGATAGAATTCAATGTCGAAATCAGCTCGTTGTAAGCGAATCTGTAGTAAGGTTTGAGCTCGTACTTCCTCATTGATCTGTTTTCGCAAATGAAGCAATTGACTTTCGCACGGATGTAGATATTTTTGATTCGGATGAGCATTGTCTCGTTCTTCTTCGGTATGTCCGATGTACTTTCGATAGGCTTGATCAACTTGTCGACGCAGATTTGCATTGACATTGACCAAATGTTTGATTTTATCCAAATAATTACCAAAACGACCATTCAATGTGTTTAATTCACGTTTTTCCACTTCTTCTTGGGCTGTATGCATTTCATCGATGTAAATGGTGCTCGAACGTGATGGACATGAAGTGATATGAGTAGACGGTGACGATTGTATTTTCGTTGCCGTAGGCATGGTATCAGTTAATACTGGAGAAAAATGTTCGATACTTTTCGTTTGTTCATCGCTGTTGTGTCGAAGTATCGCTGGAGGAGAAGATGGCCTGCACGAGGTTAATGAATGATCGGTTTCATAATAGAGAGCTGCTTTTATTTGTTGATGTTTCTCTTGTGATAAATAAAATGGCTGTTGATTATCGTTTTCATGCGAGTTCTTGGTCGCTTGTAAATCTTCCTCAATCGTTCGATGCATTGTTCAATGACTGAACAAGAAATTGTAACTGTTTACTGAAGAATTAGCACTTACCTGTTAGAATCTTGATTATTTCAACAAACAATTTGCGATAAGGGCTTTTTTTTTTCGTCGCTCAAATTTGATATATTCAATCTATGCAAATGAGAAAAACATCGAAGTATTTGTGGAGACCGCGGTTTTTTTTTTATACTCGTCATCTTTCGCAAAGGGCAATCTTGTTTTCGAGCTAATTTCGTGACGAGTTGTCTGCTATGTATAGACTATGAAATACAAATGATGGTGACGATTTACGAATTTATTTTAATATCTCGAATTTAATCGGATTTTTAAGATCAAATGTCAGTGAACGATATGCCTTCAATTGAGGGACATTTGGTAAAAATTTGCTTTCTCTGTTCAAAGAATCTCCCGCTGCGAAACATGTGATTGATAGTAGTAATCAATAGAGACGGAAGCATTTCTTACTTTGACAAGAAAGTTCTTTGATATCAATGTTTGTACACGAATTTTTCTCTTCACATATACATTTTCCTTCACTCTTCTATGTACATGTCCATCCGAGTTGAAACGCATACATTATATATATAAATGTCGACGGCAGCAGTGCTAGATATATGCATAGACGATACAACAAATTATCGGGTGATGGTGTGCACATAAGAGAATAAATGCGTGTGTGTGTATGTACAGATTAAATGTGAAGCGAACGAGACAGAACGAAGTGATGTCAATGAGAGTAAAGAGAGAGAGAAACGAAGAAGAAGAAGGAAAGAGTGAAGTATCCTGAAGGTTGATAACAATCACAGTTCTTTATACAACGATTGTCTTGATTATTCCTGAGCAAAACTATCTGTTGTTCATTTTCGATGCATCATAAGCAATTGTTCTATGAAAGAAGAGAAAAGCGATGGATGAGAAGCAATACTCTTCCTCTTTTTCTTTCATATTCACTTGAACTTCGTTTGAAATTGACTACTACTTACAATTGATCGAATATACTTCTTCGTTCAGGCATTGAACGAGCTGTATGATGCAACCAGAACTGAATGTTCTGTTGTCGTCGACGAGTCGTTGTTGGGATTAAATGCTTGTTGTTATTCTTGCATAATCATTTATATCAAATTTCTCCTTTCGCCTTGTATTCTTCATTACGTGTTCTGCAACTGGATACATTTCAATTTGTTCGATGCATTTCTCTGAATGAACATCGAAAAGCAATTAGAGCTAGATAGTTTTTACTTGCGTCAATGACTCATAGGCATTTTTTCGTTTCCTTTGTAGTGTGAGAAAAGATTTGATTTCTATTTATTCACTAGTGACAAGAACGTCTGTTGAAATTGAATACTAATGAAATAAACTTCAGCGGCTCGTTTTTGCGCTAGTCTAATCTTCTATTCAATATTGAGATACTAGATTGGACAAACTACTTAACAAGATACTCCAAAGTTCAATCGATGATCTTTATTTTCTAGATTGTTTAAATAACGATTAGTAATCGTTTGACCTTCTCGAGTTTTTCTTTTCTTTTCTAGATTGAACTTATTTGTTTGTTCTTCTAATTATGGATCAATCCGATCTTTATGATCAATTTGGAAACTATATGGGTCCGGAATTGGAATCGGACGAAGAAGATGATGACGACGACCAACAAAATGGCTACCGACATGAATTAAACAATGTGGATCAAACAAGTGACATGGTAAAGAAGCTGAAAGAATTATTTTTGTCTAAGTATATGAATGTTTTGTCTTATAGGAAGATGATCGAGATGAAGCTGAAGGCGAAGATGTTACTGTTGATATGTCAAATTTGTCCACAGCTGTTGTTCTACATGAAGATAAGAAGTATTATCCAAGTGCTCTAGAAATCTATGGACCTGATGTTGAAACGGTTGTTCAAGAAGAAGATACGCAAGCATTGACTGAACCAATTATTGCGCCTATAAAGAAACATAAATTTGCCTTTGTCGAACAAGAAATACCCGAAACAACCTATGATCTCGAGTAATTATTAACACATCATTGATGTCTGTGAGAGGAAACTAAGGATGTTTTGTATAGATATTTAGCGGATATGATGGATAGTCCAGAACTTGTTCGTAATATTGCTATCTGTGGACATTTACATCACGGAAAGGTAAGTCGACATGTTCTTTTTCAATGATTTTCGCTTTAATCTCTTCGATTTAGACAACATTTTGTGACGCATTGATTGAGCAAACTCATCCATATTTAGCTTCAACAGAAAACAAAGAAGTTCGTTAACATTTGTCTCTGTTTCTCAACTGTTGATTAATATCTATTTTTAGTTAAGATACACTGATACATTGTTCACTGAACAAGAACGTGGTGTTTCGATCAAATCAACACCATTCACCATTCTTTTACCAGATTTAAAAGACAAAAATTTTCTTTTAAACGTTTTTGATACACCTGGCCATGTGAATTTTTCCGATGAAGTCACAGCAGCATTTCGTCTATGCGATGGTGTTGTCATCTTTGTCGATGCACATGAAGGTGTTATGCTCAACACCGATCGACTTATTAAACATGCCATTCAGGAACGTCTAGCAATTACGTTATGCATCAACAAGATTGATCGACTTATCTTAGAACTGAAATTACCGCCACAGGATGCGTATTTCAAAATCAAACATATCATCGATGAAGTTAACGGATTGATCAAGTAAGAGACTCATTACGTTTGACTCTCGAATAAGTTTGTCTCATGCTTTTTTCGTCTAGAACATATTCAGAAGATGAAAGCAAAGCTTCATATGTATCACCATTGTTGAATAATGTCTGTTTCGCCAGTTCATACTATCGATTTTGTTTTACATTGAAATCATTCGCAAAAATTTACGCGGATACACATGGTAGGTTCGAAATGCACTTTTCCAGTAATTCGTTGATGATTTATTTCAGGTGGCACATTCGATTTTCAAGCGTTGGCCAAACGTCTATGGGGAGATCTTTATTATGACCCGAAAACGTGAGCATACGGATGAATTTACATCTCATCTTCATCAATTTTTCTTCTAGACGAATGTTTGGAAAGAAGAGTCCAGGTGCGAATTCCAATCGCTCGTTTGTTCAATTTATTCTCGAACCACTTTATAAAATTCTTGCTCATGTAAAATCAATTCACATTCGTTTGTTTTCCATTAGTCTGCTGAATATTTTGATTTAGGTGGTTGGAGATGTTGATAGCACACTTCCTGGCGTTCTGGATGAATTAGGAATTCGTTTAACCAAGACAGAATTGAAGCTGAATACTCGCTCATTACTTCGTCTTGTTTGTGCACGATTCGTTGGAGAATTCAAAGGTTTTACTGATATGATTATTCAACACATCCCATCACCAATTGCGAATGCACAAAGCAAAGTTGAACATTTGTATACGGGTAGTTTACAAGAAGATATTGTCACAGAAATGAATAAGTGTAATCCAAGCGTAAGACAAGATCGACTTTGTGATCATTTCTTCGAATGACAGCTTTATTTGTCTAGGCACCAGTGATTATTCATACAACAAAGAATTATTCAACATCGGATGCGACTTCCTTCCATGTCCTAGGAAGAGTTTTCTGTGGTACACTCAAAACAGGACAGGATGTGCGAATCTTAGGAGAAAACTATAGCTTAAAGGATCCGGAAGATTCGTTTTCTTGTACAGTTGGACGATTATGGGTATTCAATGCTCGGTATGTTTTTCCTCAGCTATTCGTCGGTTGAAATTTCAAAGATACATCTCCTTTAGATATCGTATCGAACTCAATCAAGTACCAGCTGGTAATTGGGTGTTAATAGAAGGTGTTGATCAATCCATTGTTAAAACAGCGACGATTGTCGACAACTCAGGTTTGGTCAAAGGTCGTCGAACCAATTCAGTTAATATTGATGACGTAAATCGAGTTTTCTCTCACTTTTCTCTGAAAAAAAAAGACTATTCTAGGTTCAAATCTTCCGTCCATTAAAATTCAACACGACATCGGTGATTAAAATTGCGGTCGAACCAGTGAATCCGTCGGAGTTACCAAAAATGTTAGACGGTTTACGTAAAGTGAATAAAAGTTATCCATTATTGAATACGAAAGTTGAAGAATCCGGTGAACATATTATACTCGGAACTGGTGAACTTTATCTTGATTGTGTTATGCATGATCTTCGTCGAATGTATTCGGAGATTGGTTTGTTTGGAGTTTTTGTCGATTGAAAAATTTCTATTGATTGATTATTTTTCTAGAAATTAAAGTAGCTGATCCGGTCGTCACATTTTGTGAAACGGTTGTTGAAACTTCTTCGCTAAAATGCTTTGCGGAGACACCAAATAAGAAGTAAGACGAGTAGCTACTTTGAAATTGTCATGTGAAAATGTTGTGTTTTCTTTCCAAGGAATAAATTAACAATGATTGCCGAACCATTAGAAAAAGGTTTAGCTGAAGATATTGAACAAGAAGTTGTCCAAATCGGATGGAATAACAAACGCATCAGTGACTTCTTTCAAAATCGTTACGAATGGGATATTCTTGCTAGTCGTTCGATTTGGGCCTTTGGACCAGATATCAACGGTCCGAATATTCTTCTTGATGATACGTTGTCACATGAAGTGAACAAAACCTTGCTAACATCAGAACCGATCAAAGAATCCATTGTTCAAGGTTTTCAATGGGCAGCACGAGAAGGTCCACTTTGTGATGAACGTAAGTTAAACAAGTTTTCAAAGCTATTGTCAGACTCGATGTTGATTGATGTTTTAGCAATTAGGAACGTTAAATTCAAAATTCTCGATGCGTCAATCGCTCAAGAACCAATTCATCATGGTCGTGGTCAATTAATTCCAACAGCTCGACGTGTTGCCTATTCTTCTTTCTTATTGGTTAGTAATTGTACATGATTTAAGCATCGTTTCGTAAGTTTTTCATGTTTGCTAGGCGACACCACGTCTCATGGAACCATACAATTTCGTTGAAGTCATTGCACCAGCTGATTGTGTTTCGGCTGTCTATACAGTTCTTGGTCGTCGTCGGTAAGTTTCACTTCGTTGAATTTTCCAAACCGAAAGAGTAACTTGGTTTTGTTAATTCAGTGGTCATGTTACACTTGATGCCCCAGTATCTGGTTCACCACTCTATACACTCAAAGCCTTTATTCCAGCAATTGATTCTATGGGCTTCGAAACAGATCTTCGTACACATACTCAAGGTCAAGCATTCTGTATGTCGGTGTTCCATCATTGGCAGGTATGTTCAAAAGCATCTTTTATTGATTGATCATGGTGAAAATATGGTTTGTGTTAGATTGTTCCTGGTGATCCACTTGATAAATCAATTGTGATTCGACCATTAGAAGCTCAACCTGCTAACCATTTAGCTCGAGAATTTATGATTAAAACACGTCGACGAAAAGTATGAACTTCGATCATGTTCTATTCTTGGATACGAATGAAAGAAATATTTTCCTTCTAGGGTCTCAGTGAAGATGTTAGTATTAATAAATTCTTCGACGATCCCATGTTACTTGAATTAGCACGACAAGATGTTTTACTTAATTATCCAATCTAGCTGAACAAATCTTAAATAACTGTCAGATAGATCTTCTTTGTCTGTGTTTGTGCGTCTATCTGACAATATCTTTGTTGTTATTGAAATAAAGAATTTCTCTTGGAAACATATTTGTCGAAAACACGACTTAATCATCTGCTTGATAGTGGCGAATATAATTATGAATTTCTTAGGGAGATTTCTTTCTTCGCTTCTTCTTATCTACTTTTTAAATAAATACGAAAGAGTGAGAGAAGCAAAGGTAATGGTAATAGTCAAAAGTCTATTTATTCAACATTATCTTGTTATCTTTCAATTTTACGCAAGTAACAGACCTGATATATCAGTCATTTGTTAATAGCGAGAGAAAAAAACGAAGCGTACGATAGAAAATGGGCGTTTTTGATCATTTAACTCGTACACGTCTTTACTTGATTGGTTATGTATTTCTCGGTCTACTTTCATTATCGTTACTGATTACGGTAATTGTCCAAGGACACAAGTCGAAATCGAAGTCAAATGACAGCACCATTCCGAGCACTGATGCTTGCCTTACAGATGGATGTATATCAGCAGCAACATATCAACTACGATCAATGGATAGTTCATTAGCATCAAATTTATGTTCAGATTTTTATAAATATGCATGTGGCGGATGGGAACGAACACATCCGATTCAGTCGTATGAGGTTGAACGCACTATACTTGGAGATATACTTGATCGACGCGATGCTGAGATCGAACGTCTTCTTAATTCACCAATTGTTCAAGTTGGTGATCACAGTTGGGAATATAAAGTTAAAGTTTGTCGATGTTATTTTCACTCTCGCTTTTGAACTTGAATCAAAGCGATTTTCCTTTGATGTTTAGACTTACTATTCCGAATGCCTTGATGATTATGCGCGCTTACCCGACAGTTCGAAGTACATGATCGGGCTGTTACAGGATAATGATACCATCGATGGATGGTTTCTAATCGATAATAGTGCACCAGATGTTAGTCAACAATTTCTCTTGAAGAATCAATCACTTTATCAACAATTATCACACATTCATGGAGATTTTGGTTAGTTGAAAAGATGTTGAAAGTAGAAGATTCAGTTTTCGGCGGTTCTATTTTAGGTGTTCTAGCAGTATTTGGTATTCGCACAAGATTTGATGAAACCGATTCAAGCGTCAAAAGACTTGAAGTACACAAACACAAATGATATTCATCCATTCGTAATCATCCATCTTTGTTTTAGTTCTTTCCAGCTGGTCTATCTATGGAAATTAATGATTATCTTGGAACTGATGTTGTATCCGAATCAGTGAGTTGACTCAAATATATTTCCACCTTCGAAATCGTTACTTGTAGCGTCGTGCAGCTTTTCAACTTTATATCATTCAAATCTGTGGCTTATTTGCCCGTGATGCCAATATCAAAGATGAAAACCTCAGCGATCGAACATATACTATTGCCAATGATGTATATACCATCGAACGGTATCTTGCTGAAGTGAGTGTATCGACACTTTTGAATGAAATACAAGTAAACGGATAATCAAATATTTTTCTAGATTCTTCAGCGTAATCCTTCGAGCGGTAAACCTTATATAACAACTTTACACGATATGAACATTGAATTCATGGTAGATATACGAATGAGAGAAGATGATAGATGAATCAATTAACGAAAAACGATCTCTGTTTCAGTTCGATTTTCACAAATTAATGGGACATGAATTGGCCGATCCAAATGCTATATCAGTCTTAACACCTATTTATGTAACTAATAGAATGTATTTCAAAGAAGCATTTGATTATCTAGGAAAATATGATGAGTAAAACCACTTCCTTTGTCTGAGTACCATCGTTCATTCATTTCATTTAAGTCCATTGTTCGCACGAATGATACACAATTATTTACGCTGGCGTCTTATATGGACTTACATCGATGATCTCTCTTACGATTACATTCATGCACATCGCGTATATATCGATGCGTATTATGGTTATGCATTACATACAACGAATGAAGCGTATTGCTCGCGTGAAGTCATTCGTCGATTTCCATTAGCAATTCAACGTTTATACTTAATGAATTCCACTCAAGCAGCCGGTGCCACAACGACTGTAAGATAATGGTTTCGATTGCATACAAGATGACATATCCATTGCTTTTATTTTAGGCTGAAACGATTTTTACAGCATTGAAGAATGGATTGCTCACATACGTCAATGAACGTGCGACATGGATGGCTGATGAGCCAACAAAAACTGTTGCACGAGAAAAGATCAACAGATTAACCGCTGCAATTGGTTATACGAAAATTGTGTCGACTGATGAGTCATTAAATAGTTATTATGACACAGTAAGAATGATGAAATAACTTCTGTTTCTTTCTCAGAGAATGAATTCTTGTAGTTTATTGTTTCCGATGATTCGCATTTCATGAACGCAATCAATTACCATCGTTTTCATCGATGGACTTTATCAGCTTCACTGGCAGATCCAATGATACTTGATCATTGGGATTTATTCGAATCACGAACTAGTCGATTGTTTGATTACATTGCCGTGTTCAATCAACTCTTCGTAATTGCTAGTGGATTACGCGAGCCTCTTATTGATTCACAGTGGCCAATGTAACTAGCTCAATCTTATATATCACTCTATAAAAAACAAATCGATCTATTTTTCTTTTTCAGGTCTGTAAATATGGGATCGATAGGTGTTCTCCTAGCTCAAAAGCTATTCGCTAGCATTGATGGCCCAGAAGGTACACAATAGACATACGAATTCTTATTTCCTATGCTAAAATTGAACTTTTAGGTCGTGCACATTTAGCAAACGGTACACGTTACGACTGGTGGCAATCACCGACCATCGATGGTTACAATAAAAGTCGTACTTGTATAACCAATTATTATGTCAATGATGTCAAATCCGTCAGTTACAATATAAATGGTGCTCAAATTCAAGTTCGACTAGCCGGTGAACCGTTTTCTCCCACCACTCTTCGGCATATCGGTGCTCTTCGCTTCGCATACAATGCTCTGATGAAGACTGATTCAATCAAATTACCTGGAACAAATCATACATCGGCACAAACCTTCTTTCTTGCTTATGCTCAAACTCAGTGTTACCAAAGACAAGAACTCCTACAATTAGTACGCACGCAACTAGGTATTTATGATGAAAGAATAGCATTAAATGCTGCTCTTTTCCACATGCCAGAGTTCACCAATGCATTTCAATGTCCAGCACGACCGGAGCAATGCTTTGACTAATTCAGTTTTTGTATTCATTTCTTTCATAAATAAATTTCTACTAATGAGTAGCTTGAAACTTCGTGCTTTTTGCATAGATGAATCATCGTTTGACTTCAGATGATGTACCTATTCATTAGAGATACATTAGACGGTCGAAAGAAAAATCGTTATGATAACTTTTTATCAATATATTTTCGTGGACAAAATAAACCATTCACAAATCGGATGTTTTCACCAATACGAACAAAAACAAATAGAAAATAAAATCACACAATGAAAAAAGAAAGATATGTAACTTAGTTGATTAATCTTAACATTAACCAGAATGTTTTCTACTGTTGAAATATAATAAATCTACTTGGAATATGAAAACTTATTTTACGACTAAGGTAAGTTGTAGTTATCGGAAACGATTCACCTTAATAGTTTCGATTAGCTTCGAATAATGATTCACCACCGGCCGAGCCACCAACACCACCTGTATATTCACCTTTAGCAGCAGCGCCATTAGCCTAAGAAAACCAGAAATCAGACGGACTTCTGTCTTTTTTTTGTCTTACTTGAGCGCGTTTGAGAAGTTGATCTTGTGCATTGGAGATATTTTCTGATTTGCCAGCCCAAGTAGTGAGAACACTAGCTTGAAGAGCTCGTCCGTAACTGAATGTCAATGCCCACGGTTTCTTGCCTGCATATTTGTTGATTGCATTTAAATTGATCGAAGCTTCTTCTTCCGATTGACCACCGGAAAGAAAACAAATACCCGGTACGGCTACGGGCACTGTTCGTTGTAAAGCTGTGACTGTTGCACGTGCTACTTCTTCCGGTGTCGATTTCTTCTTACAATCAAAACCTGCGTGTTAAAAAAAATGTCAATTGAATCCATCGAGAATTCAAACAAACCTGAAGTAACCATGTTTGGCTTAAGTAGAGTTCCTTCCAAGAACACGTGATGTTCACTGAGGGATTTATATGTTTGAGCTAAGACTTTCTCTGTAACACGTTGACATGTTTCCAAATCGTGATCACCTTCTGGTAATACCTAGATTCGATCAAATACAATCCAGTCTAATATTTTCCCTAATCGTTCAGCTTACTTCCGGTTCGACAATAGGCACAAGACCGTTCTAAATATAAACGAAGAGAAAATTGCTAATTCAATTATCAAATTCATCAGTTGTCAATCTTACTTGTTGACAAATCGATGCGTAACGTGCTAAAACATTAGCGGTTTCACGAATACCTAATTCCGATGGTAAACCATCACCAATCTTTAACGCACATCCTACATTAAGAAATAATTCAATCTTTCTCAATTCGCCGAAACGAACTACATACGCCATTTAGCAAAACGAGCACCATCTTTATAGTATTGGGCACATCGTTCACCGAGACCATCGAGACCTTGTGTAGTGTTCTCTCCATCAGTACCAGCCAATAGTACAAGACCTTTGTCGACTTTGATACCCGGAATGATGCCTTTTTCTTTCAAAGTTTGTCGAAATGGTTTGCCATTGTCATCTTCTTGGTAGAAAGTTTCATGGAAAAAGATCACACCTGAGATACTATTAGCTAAATCTTTTGAACCAGTAAAAAGCATTTGTCGATAGAGACGACGGTTTTCTTCATTATTTTCAAGGCCAATAGGTTGAAGACGTTTACCGATCGAGCCTAGAAAACATTCGAAACGAAATGTTGTCGAATTCTTGCTCCATTTTTTCTCCTCTACCTGTTGATTCATCAGCTGCAAGTAAACCCTTGCCTTTAGCCATGAGTTTTTGAGCTGTTTCCATCAACTCTTTTTCTTTATCGGCAGATAAATATTGAGGCATGCTAAAATACAACGACAATTTCGAGTTAATCCGATTGAAAAAGAAGTCATCTTACGTGAATGTATGAATACCGGTTCACACGATAACTATCTAGAAAGCAAGATAAAAAAAATGTACCAAACTTATGATGAAGAAACGACGAATATAAAAGAGGGCTCGGCTTTTTATTCTTCTTCGCAGTTTGCCCTTTGTGGACTACTAAAATGCGATAGAAATAAGAATAACCTGACGATGTAAGCAGTGTTTGTAGATAGAACGAAAGAAAGAAAGAAAAAAACACGAAACTCACTTCTGTTTATAATAAAAAAGAAATACAACGACATCGTGTGTAAATACAATGTGTCCTTAAAACTCCGAGGTAAATACTTACCAAGTCAAATCGTATAATCTTATAAAATTATTCTATGAAACATAATCAATGTCTTTGCAAGACATTCGACATGACCTAAATGTTATTTCTGTACTGGAAAGATGTGCTTGTATTCGAATCAAACGAAAAGATCAAAGTTTTATCTAATCGAATCGGGTGGTTCGATCCGATCGAGGTCCGATCGATTCTCAGTAAATAAGAGATAGGATTGACATATAAGATTTAGTGAAACAGAAAGAAAAACAAAACATCTTTAGTCTTACCTCCTTCATAGATGAAACACTAGAAAAGAAATTACGTCTCATAGTTATAGAAATTTCGCCTAATGGATAAGATAAACACATTGAACTGTTTTTCGGAAAAAACAATCATGCCGAGAAGGTCTCAAATGAACTTATTAGAAATTTTCAAAAAAATTCAAAGTATCTTTTTCAGTCACGTGATAAGTGACATCTATTGTCGAAGAATTAGTTGATACTGTATTCAATCAAGGATTTTCTTCTGACTCACTCACTTGTTCGTATCACGGTGAACGGTGTTTGTGTTTGTACAAGGTACAATGGGGGTTGAATGCTGACGAATATACTTCGGAGAAAAAATGCCTCTAAATCAAATAGTTGTATCAGAACCAACGGCATACTCACATGTGAGAGTTATTTTAATAGAATTTATTGCTTTGAGTACATCGAACTTTGTACATTTGAAATGAAGTTATCATTCTGACTTCGATATTGTAGATAAACGATAATTATATGGATGCTGATAATGCAAAAGAACAAATTCAAAGTCTTAGTCGTGAACTTGACCTGATGCATGAACGATATTCAATATTAGCGGATGTTCATAGTCAATTGCAGAAAGATAATAGTCTTTTGGAAGAACGAATTCTGACACTTGTTGAAACGTATTCCAATGAAAAGAATCAACTGGAACAAGAGCTGATTAACGCGAAAGAAAAAATTTTCCATTTAGAAGATACAATGAATGACTTAGAAATCGAAAAACAACGATACAAAGATGATTGTAATCTAGCTGTTCGACTTCTACATCGACATCCAAATGAATACGTATCAACAAGTGTTCCCGAACATACTCACGAACAATCAAAAACGAAAGCAGAAGCTGTAAGAAGAGTCTGTATCACTTTTCGCTGACACTTGTCTCTCATTTAGACATCAACGAATCATTCAGTGCAATCTCAACATAGTGTAATGATTCCAACTTTTCCACCAATGTTTGTTACACCACTTCCTCTACTTAATACGATGACATCTCCCTCGCCGGTAACCAGTCAAGTCCCTTCAACATCTATTTCTGATAATCTTCGTCTCGCCGAATCTTTATTCAAAACGAATAACGTTCACCGTTATCCTTCCAAGCATTTTATCTGTTCTAAGTGTTATCAAACCGTCAAATGCTGCGATGTCAGTGTACAAACATCGCTTGATGACCATAATCGTGCATCTCGAAATCATCGAATGTCTCTAAGTGTGTTCGATGATGAACTTGATCCCGATCCCGTGCGTACTTCAAGCGAACTTCATCATCACCTTATGACAGTACAAGAATATCAAATGGGAAACACGAGACGATCTTCGCAAGATTTGTCTTCGCAATCGTCAAACTCAATTCCTCAAATGCATCATGTCTGAATTAGTTATGCGATCTGTGATGTTCTAGACAATTTTATTAATAATCTTTTTTTTATCAGTTTCGAAACAATTTGTTTGAAAAATGGAAAATAAAGTATCCCTTGACTCGAAAGACTAGTGAAAGGTTAATAAATTAAACTTTCATAATTATTTGCATACAGAATCACAGCGCTAGAGTCAATATCGAATCTGATCAACTAGGCCTCGGCTCAGATCACTACAGCTATCAACATCTGTTCATTATTTTCAAAGATATAAATCTTATTCTTTGCATTCGCATGCGATCGGTTTGATATGAATTCATTGGATCCGTCACAAATGACACCATACGGTATTATAATTCCATTATCATTAGCATGTATATTCGTTGCTTTTCTCATTGCTTGTACAATTTTAACTTTGATCGTTTGTACAAAACGATTACATACTGTCACACATTTACTAATCTGTAATGGATCGATTGCATTGATCTTCTATTGTTTTGTTCAATCCATCAATTACATCCATCTCGCCTTTATGTCTTGGGAAACAAATGATTCGCTTTGTCGCTGGCGAGGATTCTTTGGTTATATGACTGTCGTTGCGACGATATATTCATATTTGATCCAAGCTATTTCGCGATTTTTTATTTCTATCCTTGGGATCAGACATCGCTGGGTAAAATCATTCAAAACTCATTTCATTCTCATTTCCATTCACTGGTCTCTTGCTGTACTTCTTCCTTTACCAGCCCTTCTTACTGAAGATATTTATCACCGTCCGAATGCACTTTGCTGGGTACCAAAAGATTATACTCTACACGTTGCGTACACTGTTATCGCATATTACCTTATTCCAACAATTATTATTTTTATCTTATATATTGTTATTTTCTGTCGAGTTAAACGTCGAAATCTGAGTATATTCGTTCGAAGACGAAAAGCTCGATCCAATCGTGATCTCGATCTGCTGTATAATATTATGATCTTATTTTCGATTTACATTCTCGGTGCTCTTCCGATTATCCTTTTCGTGTTGACTAAAAATGATGTTTTCTATTCAATTGGCATTATTTCCGTTTCACTGGCATTAGCTGTTGAAAAAGGTGTGACACTGATCATCGATCGCGACATACGAAACACAATTAGGTTCTATCTACAAAAAACAGTCGTACAAGTCGGACCGTCGATAAGAAGTATTTCCTAATTGAACTTCAGGAATACTTATACGAGACCAATGTTGAATCAGATGATATGCATCATTCGATTGATATATGTATAAACAGAATGCAAGGTTAGATCAAGTCTATTTACTTGCCTTTGACAGTATTCCTCGTATACGTTATGCATTTCTTTGTCTTCGAGATTTGATGAACTAATTTTCGAATCAATATTGTGCAATTCTTCGTTGTATCAAAATCAAACTTGAGATGGTTATAAATCTCATTGGATACTTTACTTTTTATGATTAGTTACGTGTTTTATAGCTTTACTCGCACTTCCTTTTGAACAATTGTTTGGATTGACTTTCCGCCTCTTGTATTTTTTTTTTTTTGAAAATCTTAATTTATATATGAACATATCCAAATACCGTTTGATGAAGTAGTAGAAGAAAATGAGAGATATTATACATACACTCGTATATGTTTAAAGAGAGAGAGAGAGAGAGAAAGAATAGAGCCAACAACAGATAAAGGAAGAAAAAGTTGACGACAATGATAATAAAGACAAATAAATCTTTCATACTTATTATATATAGAAAAACTTTCGCTTTTGCTTTCGTTAATTCTTGACTGACGAACAGGATAGACTGACTGATTTTACATGCAATTCATACAATTTGATTGTTTATTGCCTTGAGGCGGGCCAGGTGTGATACCCGATGGTCCTTCAGAAGAATTTACTGGAGTTTTCTTTAGAATTAACCTTGCCATTTCAAAAAAAGCTTTTTCAATATTGACATTGTTTTTGGCAGATGTTTCAAGAAATGGTATCCCATGTTCACGAGCGAGCGCATCACCGCGTGTTCGCGTTATACAACGTTTATCTTCCATGTCACACTTGTTTCCGATCAACATTTTGACTACATCATCGGACGCATGATCATCGATATTACGCAGCCATTTATTGATGTTTTCAAATGATCGTACTTGAGTAACATCATATACGAGCATAATTCCCGTTGCTCCTCGGTAGTAAGATGCTAAAGCGAGAAACATGTGGATTTGGACAGTAAGAAAATCAATAGAACTTACTAGTGATTGTATGAAAGCGTTCTTGACCAGCGGTATCCCTAGAAAGAAAGCGTGTTGGATTTTGTTCAACTCAATTCAGTCAGAACCGTAGAGAACTTTTAATCAAAATTGATTATATAACTACTACTACTACAATTCACATGCAATGATGCTCATCGCTATGTACGATAGGTAAAGATGATTATCTGTATAAGTACATATTAACGAGTCTTTTCTCAGAGCATGATAGAGTAAAACGAAAATGTCTTACCAGATCTGTAATTTGATCTTTCGACCATCAAGTTCGATTGTTTTTATTTTGAAATCAATTCCAATTGTGGAAATAAATGATGCATTAAATGAATCATCCGAAAATCGAAACAAAATACACGTCTAGCAAGAAATTCCAATAAACATTCAAACATCTACTGCTGTCAATCAGCTTACTTTTCCAACGCCACTATCGCCAATCAGTAATAATTTAAATAGAAGATCATAATTTTTCTTGGCCATTCTCTGGCCAGTATTCTACAACAGAAGAAAAAAGAAATTAATTATACATTAGTTTATATCTATCATCAATAACAGTTAAGATAATCTATCTGTAGATAGAACTAAATCAAAAAGGAATCCTAACGCTGTCATGTCTATGAGAACAGAGAGAGAGAGAGAGAAAGCATCGCTATATCCTTAACAACATTTATTCATCAATCAACAATGAGAATGCAAACTACCTTCTGACTAATGTCGATAGTAGATGAAGCATCGCGTTTGAGCGATTGATGTCGACGAGATGAAGATGAGGCACGTTCATGTAACCACTGTTGAGCATAGTCACTTGTTCGTTTCAATGAAAAACATCTTCGACGATGATGAATAGAAGACATAGTTAAGGACGATACTGATGACGATGACACGAGTTCAATTGTTACCACAACTGACTATCTTCCATAACTGACATTCATCAGGTGTTGAAGGCGAAGAGAAGAGGAAGGAAATCGAATATAACTCTCTACCCTGCGGCAGTACAAGCACCAGAAAAAGGGATGACCAACACTTTCTGTTTCTTTCTTCCTCTCTCTCTCTCTCTCTTTTTCTCCTATTCATTCGTTCATTTCATTTGTATATATATATGGTAGAAAAAAGCTCAGAGGAAAAATGGGACGCAGGAAGGGGACTTCTACTATACATGTATTAATTTGAGGCAGTCAAAACCGACGTTCAATGTGGGAGTAGTTCGAAATTTGAAATAAAACAAGAAGATCATCGATTGTGTGGTTATATTAGAATCTATTCTTTTGTTGTGTAGAGGTGGAATTCACACAGAGAAGCAAAATATAATATAAGGAAAAGAAGAAGCGAAACGATCGGAGAAACAGAAAAAGAACCAGTTAGTAAGTGGCATTTCTTGGATAGGATAGTCGAATATTAGTCTTTTTCTTGTATATATAATCTGCCTATGTACTAGGAAAAGAAGAAACTAGGATTGTTAAACGAAGACAAGAGAAGAGCAACAAAAGAATGATGCTATAAGAAATAAGACCGTTCAGATCTTCTTCATTTCATGTTGCTTGTTATAAGTCGAGAAAGATTGAACGTGAATCTTCGACGTATTGTTTAATTTTTCGAAGGAATAGTACAGCATCACGACCATCTAAGATACGATGATCATATGTAAGAGCGACATACATCATTGGACGTATTTCGATCTAGTAAAAATCAAAACAAAATAAGGAAGTGAAAAATGATTGGGGGGAGAGAAAAATTTTACCTTGCCATTAATCGCTACCGGTCGATCAAAAATTCCATGCATACCAAGAATTGCTGATTGAGGAGGATTTATAATCGGTGTACCGAATAATGAGCCAAATACTCCTCCATTACTAATTGTGAACGTACCACCGTCCATATCTTCGATTGCGAGAGAACCTTTCTTAGCCTAACCGCAGAAAAAGGATGATGAATCTCAGACGGAGAATCTTTTTTACCTTTTCACCAAAGTCACTAATTGATCTTTCTATATCAGCAAAATTCATTCGCTCAACATTGCGAAGAACAGGTACGACCAAACCCTCGATAGAAAAGATCTTATTGGAAACATTTTATGCAAGAATAAGAAATACTTTAGGCGCTGCAACGGCTACACTGATATCGACATAATCTCGATAGACAATTTCATTTCCATCAATGACTAGAATTAAGAGAGATTACCGATTGAATTAGATCGATCTTAGTTGTATTTCATCATACCGGCATTGACGATCGGATTGTCAACAAGTGCGCAGGCAGATGCTTTAACAAATGCAGACATAAATCCTAATTTCATGTTATGACGTTTAAGAAATTGATCAGCATATTTTTTACGAAATTCGACAATATTGCTAGAATGGAAAGTTAAGAGTGAAAATCTGCATCAAGAACGTTCTTTCTCCTTCTTTCGTTTTTACCTCATATCAATTTCATTAAAAGTTGTTAACATAGCACAAGTGTTTTGTGCTTCTTTAAGACGTTCAGCTATTTTCAGTCGCATTCGTGACATTTTAACACGTGTTTCTGATCGTGTACCAGATATTTTATTTGGATCACCAACACTGCTACCCGCACCGGCGGCTTGTTGCTTAGCTGGTGTCACTGAGATTTGTGATGTAGGGGTTTCTCGTTGGGGTCCCTTTGGTGTTGCTGGCACCGAAGGTGTTTTACTGGGAGCCGGTCCACTGGTGTCCGATGATTTTTTTGCTGGTTCTTCTTTAGTTTTTTCAGTATCAGCCTTCTCAGCTGCCTTAGCTTTTGCGTCTTTAGAAAATACACGAATAATTGAAGAAATCGATGTGAAATTTTCTTTACGAAGAAACAAACCTGCTGTAGCTGAAGTTGGCTTAGTACCACTGCCACTTGTATCAATTTTTCCAATAACTGCTCCAGACGTGACATTGTCTCCATCAGCAACGGAGAACGATTCGATGACACCTCCTTGCGGTGCATTGACACTTAGATTTGTCTTATCGGTTTCAATTTCTGCGATTGTTTCATCAGCTGAGACTTTGTCGCCAACCTTTTTTAGAAGACGTATTGTTCCATCTTTAACTGATTCAGGAAACGATGGTGTCGAAACACTGACTGAGTCAACTATGAACAAAACAAGCCACACTCAATAAGCGGAAGATTAAATATTTGACGAGTACATACAAAGAATAGGACTCGTATGAAGATGCCGAGTCAATGCATAGAGACCAGCATTGGATGAGTCAATAACAAGTGTTTGCTCCGAGAGTGTCTAAAAACGAATCAAAGATTATTTCCGATGTAGAGATCTTTTTTTCTTCTTCTTCTTCTAGTGAGAACAGAGAAGAAATTTCCTCACGGTATAGACATCGTTTTGGAATGAATGACATACCCGCTGTCTTTCACGTGTTAAAATTCCAGTTGAAGTCGAAGGTAAAGTCGAATATGAATATTGTTGCTGTTGTCCAATTGATCGCTGCGAATAGGTTGTACATTTTGTTGCTGCAAGAACAGCTGAACTTGCTGTTGAACTCGAGCGTAGTGCTCGTAATGATGCACTACGCAATGAAACAATATGAGACATGCCTATCTAAAATGACAACATCAAAACATATTTATTAATAGTTAAATAAAATAGAAAAGATTATTCTCCACGGTACACAATAATATTTTTCTCTGTTTCATATAGTTTTATTTCATACAATCGAACATGAGTATTCTGACTAGCACGTTCAATCTGTAAAACTAACTGTTCCCAAATGAAAACAGCTAAATTTTCGGTTGTACTGACTAGATTTTTCGTTCGAAAATAATCCATATCTAAATCAAGATGTTTATGATCAACTAGATCTAACACATGAGTTTGAATCAAAACTTTCAAATCACTGATGTTCATCACCATGCCTGTTTTCGGATCAATATGGCCGACAACGGTAACTTCAAGTACATAATTGTGGCCATGTCCATTTGGATTATTACATTTATTATACAGTAGAATATTTTCATTATCAGATAAATTCGCGGAATGTAAACGATGAGAAGCGGAAAATGTTTCTCGTCGTGTTAAATATACTTTTGGCCCAAGTGACATGATCTAAAATAAAAATAATACTTCTATTATTATAATGCTATTCGAATTACTTGTAAAAAGAAAAATCAAAGTCTCAATTCAATCGATTACCCCTGAGATTAAAAACAAAAATAATACATAATTGAAATACTTATATCACAGAAAAAGAAAAAAGATGTAATAGGAAAACAAATTATTGACTCGAGTTTTTCGTACGTAAATTGTTTATTGACCAGTTATCATTGACTGTCCATGCTTGTTCACCAGCGATGAATGTCGATAATACATTCAGTTTATCGTCAAGAAAAATGAAATCAGCATCTGCACCGAATGATAATGTTCCTTTTTGATTTTCGATATGAAGAACTAAAACAATGGAAAAAGACACGCGTGGTTATCTACGAAAATATTTTTTGAGCCAATTTTCAATTGTAATGGCTAACTAAAAACACTGATTGGTGTATTGTTTTATATTCTATCAACGAATACGCAAGCGTCCATGTTTTATCTTTACTTACAAAAGGCGAAGAAGTTCTCGATAAAAGTACTCGATCACCGTCTATCTAGGAGATGGGTTTCATGTCAAAGGTGAAGAAAGTTTATTGTTATAATTAAAAGGGCTACAACCGTAATATACGAAACAGATGTCGCCGGGCGTTGTACGTTTGCATGCAAATAAATGAGTTTAGATCGCCAAAAAAGAAACTGTCACTATGTGTCAACACGTACATATCTTAGTAGTTTAAATTTGATATTTGTTGATAGAGCTCAGAAGAAAGTTTCAAATGTCGTATAGATTTACAAACTATACTCATCTCTACTCGTTCGTATCGAAGAGAAAAATTTTGAAAAATTATGTGACTAAGCAGTTGTTATCAAGATCTATCGCATGTATTATTTTGCTTTTTAATTATTCGATGTAGGACTCGCCATTAGATGGTCTATTTCTATTTTAATCTAAATATAACATCTACGAAGAAAAGTGTGAAATTCTATGACAACCAGTTTAGTTATGTTGCAGATGCCAACAGTTCACTGCAAACTATCAACGCTACTCATCTGCTTACTATATAGGAAACACGACGAACTTTGAATTTACTATTTATCTTTCTTGAAGGTCATATCCTTCGTTTCGCTTGACTAACGTGAGAAACATTGTAGTTGTTTTGTAGTCGTTCAATTAACCTTCAATTCATGATTTACCTGACGCTGGATGGAGAGTTGCGGCGTCAATACATTCGACAATGAATTGTTTGTCTATCTTTACTTCACCATGCTTACTTATTTCTCCATCAAGTAAAGCTTGTCGCATATTTTGAACACATTCGGCTAATGATGCAATACTGCCACATAAAGTTTGCGTACCGGCAATGGTTGCACGCTTGTTTTCCACAAGAATTTTTTCAGCACCCATATGATACGTCCCATCCGGAAGCCCTAATGCTGGTACAGCATCAGTTACCAGAACAAGACCTTGAGGATGTACCCGATGTGCAAGGCGTACGGCAGCTGAGTGCGTATGAATACCGTCAGCGATTAAACCATAATGAACAATTGATGTTGTGGGTAAACGATGACTTGTTAGAAGACCTTTTTTCGAAGAAAATCAAAGTTAGTCTACATGAAAATGAATAGTTTCTTTTTTGGTTTCGTACCAACAAGACCTGGATCACGATGATGAAATGGTAGCATTGCATTGAATAAATGAGTGATGAATCTAGCACCAGCACAAACAGCACGTTCACCGATATCTAATGAAGCTATCGAGTGGCCCACGGAAACCACGATGTTATACTTTTGTACTAATTCTGGTATGACAGTTTCGATCATATTCGGAATTTCGGGCGCAATAGTTATGATGGAAACATCATTAAATGAGCCGTAACATGAAAGCAAATCTTCTATTCCATTTGGAGCTTTTCGAAGAAAATCAGTTCGATGAGCGCCACGTTTCTTCTCATCGATAAACGGGCCTTCAATATGAGTACCTAAACAGACAGTTCGTTGAAGATCTCTTAGAAAATTTTTTTTTCAAACCGAGAATAGTTGCACCATCTTTGGCTGAACCAGCTCGACGCTTATACTTCGGTAATACCGCCTTGTATGTTTCTGGTTTGGAACTGACTACAGTTGGTACAAATGCAGTAACGCCATGTGCGGTTAACTTTTGTGCAACGAGTAAAAGCATTTCTTCACTTGCTTCATCGGGAGAAGAAAAGTCATGACCAAACGCTCCGTTAATTTGTAAATCGATGTAACCGGGCGCGACTAGCACTCCGCGACAATCGTATTCCACATCAGCTTGAATTCTTTCATCGAAAAACACTTTTTCAGGATCAATAATTTTTCCATGACGAATCCAAAGATCATCAACTACTAAGGCATGATTACGTATCAATGTACAATTACAAAATCGAAAAAGCGTCATTGGAATAGGAAAAAAAATTGTTTTCGCACTTTGCCAAAATAGTGTTATGATCTTGCTCGAAGAACATAAATCGTCATATTGTTGAGAAGAGGAATAGCCATTTTTACATTCTTATGATCGTTGTCGAGAACCAATAGGAAAGACAATCATCGAAACTATAGTAGAGGTCACCAGATGATTAGGAACGCCAAAGCAGATGTTCTCTATGCTTTCAATGACAAGTATAACAGAGAGAGAGAGAGTATACTGGCACGGAGCTTTTTTACCTGACCACATTATTTAACTCCGTCTGATCTGGTACAGAGTACGTTCCAATATGTTTATCTTTCTAAATAGTGTAAAAAATAGTAAACTTTTGATATAGGTGGATGTATTAATACTATTGAAGACGTGATAAATTCGATAGGTTTCGATGCGCGATTGACTAATTCAGGTTCTAGAGTTTTAATGAAAACTATGTGTACTCGAAATATCAGAACAATAAGACAACTGTACTCCCGAGATTCCCGTTATCGATAAAAAACCGAGTGAGATCAAAATGCTCCAATATGGCGACCAACATGAGTGTAACAAAGCGATTGAAAACAAATGAACGTACTCTTCTGTTATTCTGTCATTATTATCGTGCCATACGTACATTGACGTCAGCGAAACCGTCACAACTGTTTTCTTCCATTACCGCTACTTTAAGTGTTCGAAAACAGTTCGCGAAGCTGAAAAAATGTTTCGAAAAGCGACCCAGTAATCATAGCTCTTTTCTTCAATACGAATGATAGATTTTTACAGGGAAGCTATAATAAAACAGCTTAACAAATGATCTAGATATTGTTTCATTCCATGTTTGATCGGTAAGGAAAGAGTTCAATGGACTGTATGAATCATATAAATGGATGAGTTCTGTTTAACTATGAAGAGCTATTGTGTCACTTTCTCCATGTATTCGGTACTGCTGTCTTTCCCGTACATTGGTAGTCCAGACTATCGACAATGAATGAATAATCAGTTAGTCTTAATGGAAACATACAGAAACTTGCTTGTACTACCCATTGAAAGCAATGATGAAACTCAATAAGAACAGAAAAATTATTGTTCTGATATATAGACGCCTATATTATCAGAAGTATCATTTTATTTTGTCTATTGAAAATAAAGGTCATTAGATGATCATCTCAAATTACACATTAAAATAGTAATACAGAATTCACTTGTTTTTCTAGCACGGTGGTACATATGCCGTCGAACAGTACTTTGATCAATGAAATATCGTCTAATGAAACTCACGGTGCTATTGCTTACATCGTTGTTGTGATCATATGGTACGGGATAGGATTTGGTATAATTTTACTCAACAATATTCGTCAACGAACTCACCATACACAACAGGATCGTTACACAAATGTTTATCAAGCAGTCAATGATTTAACCGAGCAAAAAGCACGAAAAGATATCTTAATTCAGCTGAAAGATAACGATAAACGACAGAAAATTTGGAATATTTATTATGGTACTGAAAAAAATTGTCAATCAATCGTGGAAAAAGATAAAGAAACAATTCATTCGATTACAAAACAATTGACCGAGCAACGTCGTTTACTTCAAAATACTTCAAACGATCTAAGTTTGAATCAAACCGACGATGATGAAACTGAATGATAATAATAATGAAATAAAATCCTCATCAGACGTACAATCCCAGTGATACTTGCATACTGCGTTATACAAGGAAATTTTCTACACGAGAAAGTGCGTCTATCCTTGCAAAAACGCCTACGCAAAATACAACACAAGGGGGATAATATCGCGTATATCGATTAAACTGCCAGTGATACACATACGCACACGTATATATATACGCGACTTAAGTTTATTCGTACACTATTGGCAATCGGTGAATTTTATATATTGATTCAATAGGAAGAAAGAGAGAGAGGAAGAAAAATCAAGATTGTAGGACTTAAAAAAATACGGCCACTTACAAAACCTATTGATGAATACATATGAAGTGAAAAAAAATTTGCGATCGGTACTGTTTAGTTAGGGATATCGATAATGATAGGTAGTATAGAAGTGAATTCGGTCGAACATATTATGTATGATTGAAAGAACGATTTTACTTCTGTTTGTTCTAGTTCGATAGAAATTCAACATCGGATCTATGCATTTCTTTCTACCATTTTCGATTGAAAAGTAAAATGACTCACTAGAAACTTAATCGAGAGAACAGCTATCGCAATATTTGCTTATACTTCTCCGAACTCGTCTGATAATCGATTAGGACACGGTGTGATGACTGTATACACACATGGAAGAAATTGTAAAAGATTATTATTTTTTACATGAAGTTCATTGCCTGGTGCAATGACAAGATCTGCTTTTGTTGGCACTTCTTTGACATTTCAACAAACATTTTCATAAACGACATGATCTTCATTTATATAAAACTTATACAAGATTTGTTTTAACGCAGAAAAGAAAAAGATAGCGTGAACAAGAATGAGAAGAGGAGAGAGATAGAGACAAAATAAAGATGACAAGACCTACACACAATAAAATATCGACTGAAGTCTTTTTCTCTCTCTCTCTCTCACTCTCTCAACTTCTTTTTTTCATCAATAATCTGTACACATAAACACGTCAACAATCTGAACTGACACATCCGAGACCAAAATAAGAGGATGAGACATAAATATACACGAATGAAGACAAGAGAGAAAAGAAAAAGAATAGTGCACAAAACAAAAACTAATGTTTGCTCGGACAGATTTTTTTAAATGTATACATATATTTATGTGTGTGTATAGTATCCTTAACAACACCTGAGCTGAAAGAAAAAAAAACACGAAAACTTCCAATCATTATTATGATTCATCATTAGTCTTTTTGAACAATTTGCTTTGTTCATGTTCATCATCATCATTATTATCGAGTTTACGTTTGTTTGTTAACGAATATGGATCACTGTTGGTTTCTTCTTCTTCTTCTTCTTGATCTTCATTTTCATCATCATCATCATCTTCTTCCCCTTCTCCTCCTCCTCTGTTGTTCTCTTCATCCTCTTCTTCGTCATCATCATCATCATTGTACTGGTCAGCAATGCTCGACAATGCTGGACTCTACAAAAAGTAACCAACAAGATTTCGACTTCCAAGAGTGAATATACGTTTGCTTACCATCGCATATGGAGATGCTGCTTCAGCTGAGGGTGAAGATGCATCGGCAGGAAGTGTGGCATTTGATGACGTTGAAGGTGTAGGCGAACGTTGAAGATGAAAATTAATAATAGGTTTTTGTTTATACGAACGTGATGATGTAGGTAAATCATCTTCGTCCTCGTCATCATTATCTGTCGTAGAATGATGAGTTTTAGGTGGTTCACTGGTTGAAATTGCACTCGTTGTTTCTGGTTGACTATCTTCATCATCGGAAGTATCACCGAATGCTGTACCATGATTGAATGAACTGATTTTGTTTTCGTCGGCATCATCGTTGAACCAATTCTCCTCGTCCACATCGAGGTCACGTTCGTCTTTTCGAAGACGTTGAATTGATAGAAGATGAGTTGTGTTTAGATTGTCATGAAAACGAGAGGTACTACTCGTAGGCGAACTAAAAATCCTTGATGAATATGTTTTCTCTTGTAAAATCAGATCTCAATACCTTTCGCTGAGTATTCGTTCACGTTTATCGCGATGAGCATCATAACGTACTTTCAAATCTCGAAACGTTTTCACATACGTGATCGATTCGAATTCTGAATAGAAGTTTTCCACAAAATAGTTAATTAATGTCCTAATATCTTCCTAAAAGTACCAAAATAAATCATACGTCTGGTTTTAGTAATCGAATTAGCTTACGTGTCGAATAAATTCAAACAATTCAATTAATGCAGAGTTCAATAAGTTATACCGTCGTTTATTTGCTTTAAATGCATCAACAATAGGTGCAAAGAGATTATTTCGAGCAATATTCAAACTATACTGTTCATCTTTTAAACCAATGATTTTTCGCAAGAAACGAAGTGCACCTAAACGAGAAAAAATGTCGATGATATGTATGAAAATGCAATTAACAATGTGCGTTACTTAGTTGAAGAAATTGATGTTTGGATTTGAGTAAGACGAGCACGCGTCTTAGTAAATCTTTTTTATTAAGAAAATTTCTCATATGATATGTGTGATGTTCAATGCAAAATGTGACGAAATCGAGAATTAGATTTTGCAATTGAGCAAGATGAAAATCATCGCGAACTAGTTTCAAGTCGGACGTATTGGCCATTAATGGTGCGAGTAAAACAGACATTGAACGAATATAAAAGAACGTTAAAAACTCTGTTTTTTCACTGATTGACACAGCCATCATGTTTTCCGGATCGATTAGTAATTTCAAATAGTTCATTAGATTCAATGCACCACTTAGTTCTGTGATGAAAACGATGAGATTCAAATGGATATGTATCAAACGAAGTTACCTGGATCTGGGTCACTTTGAATCTCTGAAATGACTAAATTCAAAAGTAATTCATCGTCATCTTGGATTGATTGAGCTTCTTGTAGCATATATTCCCGAACGGTCGATGGGTTACATTCAACAATCGAAGCAAAGACATCGAGTGCAGCTTGTTTAGTGGTCACATCGTCAAGACTCTACAAGAAATGATTCACATAGAAGAAAAGAACTCGACCTTATTCTTGTTCAGCTCATTTATACTTACAAGCATTACTTGAATTACATTCAGAATACCATGAGTTGCAAGTGCCTAGAAGACAAATAATGAATTGCATAAGTTTAGTCAGCTAACTATCATAGACATAGTCTCATTGATGAAAGGAACTTGTGATTTGTCTTCTTTGAATTATTCCAATAGCTGCTTTTGACGGATATCAACGAAAACTACTTTGATTTTTTCGAAAAAAGCAAGATCCCCGTGACCTTGTTACGGATCATTTGTTAGAATGGCCAATAATACTCTACATACCTGAAAGAAATTATCTCGGTTTTGTTGTTGTAATGTTTGTGAAAAGACGCAAAATTCTTTTAGGAACAGCATCAGATCTTTGCGTTTGTCATCCGGTAGATTATCATCTTTCAACGTTGAAAACAATTGAGTAAGAAACTTTGGATCTTCCTAAACACAAAAGAATGAGGATTGAATAGAACGACAGACATTCATGACTTACATAAAGTAACGTAACGATTTCGACTTTGTTAAAAAATAAAAAGCTATTCATTGTCGAAAGGAGATTTTCTTCGAATAGACTTGGCGCTGGTAAAATTGCATCCTGAATATATTGAATGCGATATGTCTGATGAATTTTAACTAATAACTCTTGATTTCCAATCGGAATGACTTCTTTGAATGTTGCTTTCTTATTTAGGAACTCTCGATGATTCCGTTTGGTTTTTAGATTCAATTGCGGTTCGTATTCTAAGCAACCAATCACATCCATAATGAATTCGTCGCTGAACAAAATCTCGAATAGTGTGGACTTATTTAAATAAAATATCGAACGAATGATTTCGTAGAGTTGATGTAGAGACTCGAGATTGTCTAAATCTTCGCAGATACGAAATAAATCGATTAACTTTCGAACATAATTGTCCGATTCAATTGCACGCGCAAGGAAATCTCGACGAGTAGCATCACGAACTTTTTCCGGACTGAATAACTCGCATATATCACGTAAATGACCGAGATCAACTGGTGGTAAATTAATCGTTGAGGAAAGATAGTTTTCATTCGGTTCAATGCACTCATCATCGGACTCGTAAATTGCCGAATCAGTTGTTAAATTATTTCCTGTCGCCAAAAACGACGATGAATCTTTGGCCTGTACCTGCAATGAATCGATTGTAAGAAATCAAATTTTCGTAGAAAATGCATACTTACATCACAAATGCTTTCCCATATATCATCGCAACCTGCTTTCTCTTGGAAACTTAGTGCTAGATCATATTTTTCACCTTCTGACCAGACGATTAGCGTTTCCTATAAGAACAATCGATTTTTATTTTATCTTATGAGTTGCCAAATAGACAAACTTGTTGTTTTTGATATTTGGTATGCAATTGAATTTTTGATTCAAGCAAAGTTGACCCGTCGACTTCGGATTTAACAATAATCGAATGATTTGTATTCGATGATGTGGGAGATATACATGTCACAAAGCCAGTACCACGATCGTCCCACTGTCGTTCTTCATTGAGTGTGTATAGTTTAACGCGTGATCGATTATTCGAAGGAGGTGTCGAAGAAGAACTCATTGTCTAGGGAAGAAAAAAGAAGAGAAATTTAATGAATGATTTATTGTCTAGAAAGAAAGATTAATCAAAGAAAGAGAAGAAGCATCAGTGGTAACTGTCATGTTGAGCAATGCAAAGGAAAAGAACGGAGCGAACAAACAATAATAATAACAGTTATGAACCAATGGAAGACCAGTAGGTGACCTTCACTTGTAGGAATTATTTTATTTCGAAAGTAGAAATTAATGATAAATTTCATGAGTTTTCCTTACGTAAAAAAGTTAAAATGTCGATTGCATCATCCTCGATGATAGAGGGCGTTAGATGTCAAATTCAAACAAAGAGAGAAGAGAAGCAAGGGATTGAATATCAATGGTTATTATCTATAGTTGAAAATGATATAGTGCATTGTGTATCAAATCGGACCTGGTATGGTCCGTGCACTTATAGAAACTCTATTGGTTTGGTAAACCGAACTGAATTTTTCAGCGTGAATCGAACATGATAGTTATTCCTCTATCTAAGTAAAAATCTCTTTATTGAAGAGTAGAAATGTTGTAAAACTATACAAAAAAAGAGTATCAAACAGGAAACGATTATTGGAATGATAAATTTGAGAAAAAGAAACACAGCGAATACATGTATATCGGAATGGGTACCAATTGGCTATTATAAACATGGTGAGATGAGAATCTTCAATAGCGAATAAACAATGCAGTAAGGATTGCAACGATAAGTAAAATTATTGATGCACGCGTATTATTTGAACCCAACTAGAACATAATATGAGATAAACATACACAACAATAGTCAGAAATCAAACTTACAACAACGTATCGATTGCATCGATCGCCTTGACAACATTCTACACATGCCCAATCTTCGTACCAGTTACGAGTACAAACAGTAGCCAAACCATAGAGAACTAAATATTCAAAATTTGTTTTCATAGACTGGAAAGCTTTACCGGCAACAACTTACGGCGAGTACATGCATCCCTTGTATCACAACCTTTTGAAATATAATGGCGACGTTCACCTCGTGGTGTCCTACATATCAATAAAGTAAAATCATCGTTGATAAAAAATTTGATTTCTTACCATTCGTGAGGTGTCGTGTAGAGAATTAATGTGGCACATGTATCTTCATATCGTTGACACATACGAACAGTCTTGATACATTTATCATCATTTCCTTCCTGTTGTTCACATACGTAGCATTCAAGTGCATTAGTAACTAAACGTGAGAATTCGAATTGAAGTTTAAAAAATCACGTTTGAAATTTACCTGAGAGAAGAGTAAAGATCAGTAAAACAGAGATTGAAATCACATTCATGATCTTTCCGATTGAAATGTACAAGGACGAACGAACGAACAGAACGGACACTTCACACTATGAGTTATAAAGAAATTCTTCATTGGCAGTTGAGAAAGAATGAATATGTATGCTTGTCAATGAAAGATGGCGCAACTTGATTGCAAAATTCTTTTGCAAATATGCAGGGCGAAGAGTTCAAGATTTCGCCATATCATCGATTATTTTAAGATAGCAATGAGAAAATGTGTTAAATGTATGACAGATCCGTTGAATCATAGATGACGATTGATCCTACATATAATATCAATGGCTATTTGAAACCCAAAGAGCACATTGATCAAGTGACCCCTTAAATCCATTACTACCAGATTGATTTATCATCAGCTCCATATGTCATTATGACTAAGAACCGAGATTTTCTTTGATCGCATTTTCCCTTCAGTATTCATATAAAACTATCCTAGATTATACTAAATCACTTCAAAACTATTGATTTATATTCATCTTCCATTAACGATAATCGATATTATTTATGGTCATCGAATGAATATATACGACTCTTGAATCTACTGTGTGTAATGAGAACTGATATATCTCGCCACCTTTGTCAAACGCCTACGCTGGACAATTAACAGGTTCTTTGACATATTTCTGTGATTGCTTCAGAAAACCCACCAATGGCAAACTTGTTTTTTTTCTCTTCTTTTATTTTCACCGCGTCTTCCACACCCGCAACAGAATACAGAAGAAGATCTCGACTATTTTACTATGGGTAATACCGATTCAAAAATTGATTTTCGTGTTGCTGTCGTTCAATTAACTTCACGTAGTCAGGTAGAAGAACTAATTAGTGCGAACGAAAACGAACTTTGTATCTTGGTTTTGGAATTCTAGCAAATTGAATCTAATGATGAATCATTTTGGGATCAATTTTGGTCGGACAAAATTTCAAGTGTTCAGGACATTTTTGCGTTAGTACCAGCGGCAGAAATTCGAGCACTACGAGAAGAACTACCATCGAATTTAGCAATCTTATGCAATAAACTCGTCGATCGTTTACAAATGGCAGCGGAGAACTCCTGTCAAACACAACGAGATCAAACAGCTGGTAAAAAACATTGAAAAGCGTTCTTTCGACAAATTTTTTTGGTCTCTCTTTACTCGTTCTCATAGCGATAAACTGTGTTCGATTGCTCACTCGTCTGTTACCATACATATTCGAAGAGCCGGAGTGGCGAGGCTTTTTCTGGTCTGATATTCCCACCGGTCCTCAGCAGACTACATCAAATGGAGTAAGAACTTCAATATTTTCTACTCAGAACAATCTTAGGTTCTTATCTTGTAGGAATGTGTTAGTAAACCACCGTTAGCCGAACGCCTTCTTCAAACTTTAGCAGTAAGATCTCAGTATAATTGAATGAACGCATGTTTACATTTGTTTTTTGAAGGATCTCTTGTTTTGTCCGGATTTTACAGTTTCTTCAAAGAAGAAAAAAGGCCCAGTATGAGAAATCGAATACAAACAAAAGAAAAAGCTCATCTCGTTATTTCATACATAGGATAATCCAGAAGATATACATACAATCGATAGTTGTGAATACATTTGGGAAGCTGGTGTTGGCTTTTCTCAATCACCTGTACATACACCAAGCAATGATCGAAATCGAACGGAAATTCTGAAGTTGTTACTTGTTTGCTTTTCCGAAACGATCTATATGAATCCATCAGGTACGTTATTATTCAATCAAAGTTCAAAGAAGAAAATAATCTCCTCATTCTTCAAGCTGAGTTACAGTTGCATTCCAATAAATGGTTAACTTATTTTACATCCGGTCATAATCGGTAACAATTAAATATAATGCTTTTCATAAAAAAAGGAAATCTTTCGCTTTTTCCTCTTCTCCTTTTCTAGTCAAACATTACCTTTATTCACTTCCTTGATAAATATCGTATTCTCCTATGATCCTGTTGGTTATCTACCTTACAATTATCTTCTATTTACTGATACACGTGAACCTCTAGTCGAAGTTGCTGCCCAGTTGTTATGTATAACGCTTGATCATAATTCGTCGATTTTATCTGATCAAGCTCCATCATCGCCAACGAATCAAATGTCATCGGGTGACGATTGTCCTAATTTATTTGTAAATTATCTATCACGTATTCATCGAGATGACGTAAGATTCTTGATTTAAACATTGCCGATTGAGACGACTAATTTTCAATGTCATTGTGTAGGATTTTAGTATATTATTGAAAGGGTTTTGTCGATTATTAAATAATCCATTGATTCAAACGTATCTACCGGGTTCGTGTAAGAAAATAGGGTTCTATCAAGAATTATTAATATTGTTTTGGAAATTCTGCGATCGAAATAAGGTTTGATTTGCGGAAAATCTCCTTCTTTCAACCTTCAATTTTTTTCTATGTGATAGAAATTCTTATATTATGTATTGAAATCAAGTGAAGTGTTGGATGTTCTCGTCCCAATTCTTTATTTTCTCAACGACGCACGCTCGGATACTTGTAAATACCACTCTCACATGTAATTTTCCATTCCCCATCATGAATTTGTTGACATATTTAGCCAAAACGGGTCTAATGCACATCGGTGTCTTCATTTTGCTGTTACTTAGCGGTGAGCGAAATTTTGGCGTTCGATTGAATAAACCCTACGTTACACGAGTACCTATGGACATTCCAGTCTTTACTGGAACTCACGCGGATCTACTAATTATCGTACGTAGTTACCAGCGAGTCACATTTTCTATTAAAAAAAAACAACTGTAATCATCTCTTCAGGTTTTCCATAAAATTATCGTCTCTGCACATCAACGTTTACAACCGTTATATGATTGTTTACTAACTATTATAGTCAATATTTCACCGTATTTGAAAACACTATCCATGGTATCGAGCAACAAATTAATTCATTTACTTGAAGTAAGAATCACTGTTTGTTAATCATGCGACTTGCAAATATCATATTGCACTTCAGGCATTTAGTTCTCCGTGGTTTCTTTTCGCAGCGCCTGAAAATCATCATTTAGTATTCTTTCTTCTCGAAGCATTCAATAATCTTATTCAATACCAATTTGATGGTAAGATGATCTGTTCAAAACAGAGAAGAATAGATGAAATCAGCGAATAATTCTAGGCAACGCAAGTCTAGTTTACTCAATTATTCGTAAACGTCAAGTCTTTTTCGCATTGAGTAATCTAGCGACTGATACACAAACAATATCAAAACTAAGTACCAAATCATCAACAGTAACTTCATTTACAAAATCAAGTCCTGATAAATCTGACAATAAACAAACTCTTTTTCAAAACAATATCAAATCAAATACGCAAGAAGGATTAACTCTATCTAAGGAACATTTGACACCTGCTGGGATGAACAACGCAATGACAACGACATTGGCTGAAACACCATGTAAGGATGAACATTTGCACGGAAGTAGTTAGAAGATGACGATGGAGAAAGACGATATTTTTTCTCGTCAGAGAATTGCAACGAAAGGAAATATCTGAAATAATTATTCATAAAAGGAATATTGTGTTCTGGATGACTGCTATTCGAAATAGATACCCTCATCGGAAGCCAAGTGACAAATGAAGAGCAGATTTTACTATTGAGTAAAGTAGAGTATCGAATAAGAAATCGGAAAAGTAAGCTTCAACAGAATTGGTTTGGACAATA